AGAGGCTGGCACGCCATACTTGTTTCAGCCTCTGGAGGCCACAGTCAGCTGGGCAGCTTTGGGGGCTTCTTGGTTCTTCCCCCCTCCTCCAACACACTTGAGAACTAGTCACAGGCACCAAGTTTACCAGGTCCGTTGCGTTCCTCCAGTCCTTCAGCAAACACTGCCCACTCTGTCAAGCTAGGCCCACAGGGTGAGTGATGAGGTTTGGGGGGAAGACGGGGGGGGGGGGGGGGGGGACGGGGGGGGGGGCTTCAAGCATTCCATGGCATTTGAAGGGCTGGGGGTCCCGATGAAGAGGCTGAGCTTTGCAAGCAAAGCAGCATGCTGGCAATGTGGGTGGAAAGTTTTCATCCTTGAAAGTTAGCCAATGAAATACTATGTGAACACATGCTCGATAAGAGGGAAAGGGCACTCTATTTGGGGACAAGCATCTGTCCACTGACTGTATTACTCTAGTGTAATTAACCTGCTCCCTGTAGCCAGTGCTTGGAGTTGTGTCTCTCTGCTTGAGAGCCTCTGCACATAGTTCACCTGCTAAGTGGAAGGTGGCGTGCAGCAAGCACCCTGGAAAGACTAAGACCAAAGGATGGGGAGAAATGTACCAGAAACAATGTGGAGGTTTCTGCCCTCTTCAAAGGAGGAAGATAGCATGTGCAAATGCCCAGTGGTAAGGGCTGAAAGTTGTGAAGATCTAGAGGGTTAAGAAAAAAGGAAGGCGGGGGGGGGGGGGGGGGGAGGCAATGCAGGGGTGGGATGCTTAACCAGAAGAAAAAGGCTATACTTTCTCCCAGAGGAGCCACACAAGGGTTCGGACCAGAGGAAGGAACAGGAAGGGAGGGAAATTCAAGAGTGTTCACCCTGACTGTTCTGGAGGGAGGCTCTGGAGCAGACCCTTAGAGGCGAGGTGTAGAGAGATGGAAGTCCCTGATATTCACGAGTCTTCTCACAGCCGTCTTCTGGTCCCCAGAGGAAGAGGCAAGTCTCTATATTCTCTGGAGAATAAAGTCAGTGGACGGCTGAGACTCAGTTCTGCAGGGTCATGGTGACCCCAAGGTGAAAGCACCCCAGCTCCCAGCTCCCTCCAACACTTCTGATTCTGGACTAAGGCTCAAGGAACAGGCCAAGGCCCAGGCATTCAGCCCTGTGTGTCCTCAGTCACCCTAGCCCCTCCCCTCCCAGGCAAACCATGGGCCTGATTGCTATCAGCGCCCCTCAGCCTCCAGGCCTGAGGTGGAGACCAGGGCCCTGTCAGGACTGCTGCCTGCAGCCCGCAAAGCCATGGCTGGACGGCCCTGGGCTGGCAGCCCAACAGCAGCCAGAGTCCTGGGGAGATGAGATTAACAGGCCATGCAGGCTCCACTGCCTTCCAGTGGGTGGGGATGGGAGGGGGGGGCAGGGCTACAGGGAACACAGAAGAGCCTGGAAGAACAGAGTTGACATGAACTTCACCCCAGCCACTCAGAGGAAGAACAGTGTTAGGAGGCAGACCCAGAGATACCCTGCCTTGCCCTATGGCCTGGGCTCAGTTTGCTCATATGTAAAATGGGCTTTCAAGACTCTGTCTTTGCTAGGCACTGGTGGCTAACACCTAGCTACTACGCCAAGCTATCTCAGGAGGCTGAGATCTGAGGATCTCAGTTTGAAGCCAGCCAGGGCAGGAAAGTCTGTGAGACTCTTATCTCCAATGAACCACCAGAAAACTGAAAGTGGTGCTGTGGCTCAAAGTGGTAGAACACTAGCCTTGAGCAAAAGAGCTCAGGGACAGTGTTCAAAAAAAAAAAAAACAGAAAACATAGCACAATGTGTGCCAATACATCATTCACTTTCATTCAACTCCTTAAAAAACTCAACCATCAAGCTGGGCATGCTGTAATCCCAAGAAGTCAGGAGATTGCAATAGGAGGGCTGTGAGCACAAGGCCCACCTAAGAAACATAGTGACGACTTGTCATTGCAAAATTAAAATATTAAAAATCATCCTTGGATGGTAAATTTGGTATTCTGTGCATTGGAGGAATGACTCGGTGGTAGACTGTATAGTAAGCATGAGGCCCTGAGTTAAAACCCCGGTAGGAAGGAAGGAAGGAAGGAAGGAAGGAAGGAAGGAAGGAAGAGAGGGAGGGAGGGAAGGAGAGAGGGAGGGAGGAAGAAAAGGCAGAAAGGGAAAAAAAGCAAGTGATTTGCAGGAAGCCTTTTTTTGTTGTTCGTGGGTCTTGAACTCTGGGCCTGGGCGCTGTCCCTGCTCCCTTCAGCTCAAGGTGATCACTCTACCACTTGAGCCACAGCGCCACTTCGAGTTTTCTGTTGGTTAATTGGAGATAAGAGTCTCACAGACTTTCCTGCCTGGGCTGGCTTTGAACCGAGATCCTCAGATCTCAGCCTCCTGAGTAGCTAGGATTACAGGAGTGAGCCGCTGGTGCCCAGCTAAGTAGCCTATTTTTTAAAGTCTGAGGAAGTTTTGGTCAGAATGCTGAATGGACTGGCACATAGTGGGGGAAAGGCAGTTTGCTCTGACCGTGACCCTACAGGGAGTTATGTACTGCTTATCATCCACATGCTACAGGTGGGTAAACTGAGGCTCAGAGAGGTTATGTAAGGTACCTCAGGTGAGAGTCAATATGAACTTGGAGCTGTGTGACCCCAAAGCTTTGGCCTTCAGGGTCACATCTGCCTGAGTTCCCTACCTCTCCTACTAAGGCCAGCTACTCCCCAGGCTTTCCAGGGCGGCTTGGCCTCCATCCCCCCTTGCCCTCAGCTTCCCTCAGCATCCCTGGTCCCTCCCCTCTCCCCCATATCCACTGTTACATTTGTTTGGATGAAGACCCAAAACAGAGGTTCAAAGCCAGATTCTGCCAATGGCCAATTATGCAACCTGGTGCTCCTGTGAAATGGGGCAAAAGGGAAGGGGAAAGGCTTGGGGAGCAAAATCCTTTGGGAATCTTTTTTTTTTTTCAGTATTCTGTGGGGCTTTAACTCAGGGCGTGGGTGCTGTCCCTGAGCTTTTTCACAAAGGCAAGCACTCTACCACTTGAGCCACAGCCACTTTCAGTTTTATCTGAGTGGTTTATTGGAGATAATAGACTTTCCTGCCCAGGCTGGCTTTGAAACCATGATCCTCAGATCTTGGCCTTTTGAATAATTAGGATTACAGGCATGAGCCCCCTCCTGGCCTTTGGGAATCCATTTTGTGTGGTGGGTGAGGTAGTTACAGTGGGGGAAGGCCATCCAGGGCTGGAGTCCCCTCCCAGCCCCATTAAGGGCGTGGCCAATGCTGGGGATGGGCCTTGAAGCCCCACCCCACTCCACTCCAGACAGTCTGGATAGCCAGGCTGCAAAGCCCAGAGCCCAGCCAGACACCAGGCGCCAGACAAAGCAGGTGAGGACCTGAGGCTGGGACTGGGCACAGACCAATGGGGAGAGCAGCCCCAGTGCAGCCACGTAGGCATAAACCAGATTCCCCATTGGACTCTTGACCAGCACAGTGGCCATCAAATTTGGCATCTCTCTTGAGTGTGCTGGTATTTGGTAAACAAAGATGGTAGACATCTAGAGGCTTAACAAAGTAAGCGCCAGCCAATGGAACAAGAAAATCAGTACCCACAGCACCCCTACTATGTGCCTAGTACATAGTAGGCACCCAGCCCCTACCCATCCAATGCCTACCTGGACCTGGGGAAGGAGGCAGGTGGGTCAAGGAACTGTTTAATTGGTGCTTTTCAGAGTCCTAAAAAGATGGGGACTTCCGAGTCCTGCCGTGCTGGGCCCTGTTGGATATTCATGTTTGCAGACTCTGGAAGAGAAGAAAGGGCATAAATGATCACTGGTGATGGCTCCATCTCTCAGGTGGCATCATGCCTGCTGGCAGGACACTGTGTTTCCAATATCCATTTGCGCATGCCCAGGGCTGGGGCAGAAAGCGCTATGAGGTCCTTCCTCTCCAGCAGAGCCCCTGCCCCTAGCTTGCCAGGCTGGAGATAAGCAGAAAGGAGGCAGAAGAATTAGGAGGGAAGGAAGGAAGGAAGGAAGGAAGGAAGGAAGGAAGGAAGGAAGGAAGGAAGGAAGGAAGGAAGGAAGGAAGGAAGGAAGGAGAGCGAGATAGAGAGAAAGGAAAGGATGGAAGGAAGAATGCAGGAAGGGAGGCAGACGTGAGGACAAATCCCTAAATCATCTATAATTAGGTATCCCCAGTTATTATAGCACCAAGAGGTAGCAGACCTCCCACCATTGTTGGGTGAACGGAGAGACTAAAAAGCCCCCCACCTTTTTTTGGTACCAGTCCTGGGGCTTGAACTCAGAGCATGGGCACTGTCCCTGAGCTGCTTTTGCTCAAGGCTAGAAGGCTTGAAGGAGGTGCTGCTGAGGGAGAGGGAAGCCAGGGCAAGCAGGGGCACAACATGGTCAAAAGTCAAGGAAAGATGTGGAAATGTACAAAAGCCTGGCACTATGGAAAAGGTAGCTGCAAAGCTGGGTGTGGTGGCACGTAGCTATATCCCAGCATTCAAGAGGTTGGAACAGGAGGGTTACAAGTTCAAGGCTACTGAAGAAGACCTTGTCTCATGGTGGAGGTGGGGATTATAAGGAATGGTGAGTCAGTAGAGGCAGAGCCTGGAACGCTAAATTGGAATCCAGAACACAAGGAAGCCTGTGTAGCCTTGAGTTCCCTCCCCTCCCCCTGTGGCCTCTGCTGCAGTTCTACCACTGGAGCCCCGTGTACCACTGTGTCTTCCCACTCACCAGGGCTACAGTTTCCCAGCTCCAGCTCTAAAGGGCTCCTGGAGACCATCCTTTTGTGCAAGTAAATGTCATCCCTAGTGGTGAGCCTCCCCTTCCTGGGCTCTAAGCCCACAGGCTGACTCCCTCCCCAGTGGGAGCAAACAGAGGGTGTGGCAACCCTGCAGACAAGACAGAGCTGCAGAGCCTTTGCCTTTTCGTTTTCTCTGTCCACCCTGGCTAGTCTGGGACCCCTGCTGTCCTTCACTTGTCTCGGCTGGATCCAGAATGATCCCCTGGTGTTACTGCCTCTTCTCCCTCCTGGTATGAGACTTTCTGGAGTGGGTTCAGGGGAGGAGATCAAGGTGATCAAAAGCCTCTGGGACGGTTCCAAGTGGCACCCCAAATCATGAGATCCCTGCAAAGGTTAGGAAAGATGAGTCCTTGGTATGGAAATGGGATAAAGGCAGAGAGAAGTGCCCCATCTCCCACAGTCACTCATCAGCTGGCTTGTACCTCACAAGGGGGGGAGGGCTGCCCAAGGTCACACCCAAGGCAGAGCCTGCAGCCACCACTGCAAACACCCCTGAACACAGGAAGCATTCAATGACTGCACGTCTGAGAGAACATCTATCCCAGTCGCCACCCCTTTTCTCTCTCAGATCAGGAGTCTCTCTGGGACCTCTTCCAACTCCCCAGGTGAATCAAGGATCCACTGGGCCCCAGGTTGGTATGTGGGGTCACCCCCAGGGAAGCCTTTCACCCAGTGCAGCCAGCCTGTGGTCCAGGTGGTGCACTGGTCTGGAATCCACAGAAAGGGAGGAAGTAACGTAGTTCATAGCTCAGCATGGGAGGCGCAGGCTGAAAGCATCCCACCTCATTCTAGTCCTGTGCATCTAGGAAGGCTCTGTAAGGTACAGCCTCGCCAAGACATAGACCAGGGCCAGCCCCGTTTATGCCCAAAGACCCTAACACCAATGTCCTTTGCTGTGCCCACAGTCAAAAGGATGAGGCACTCACCAAATGCTCCCTCCCATCCTCTCCTGTGGCCCTCCAGTCCCACGGGTCCCAGGAGAGGTAGTGGAGACTGCCCACGATGTGTGCAAGTTCCCAGGGCAGAGGCTGAGCTGGTGGCAGGCCCAAGAGTCCTGCGAGCTGCGATTTGGCCACCTGGCACGGACACCTCTGGATAAGCTTCTCTCTCCCCGGCTTCGGCTTCGAGATCCGATCTGGGTGGGCCAAAACCTAGCGTCTCTAAGGAGACCCCCGCTGAGGCGTGAGTACAGGGTTCCGGGCCTGGAGGGAGTGGTGGAGGCCCTGGTGCCTTCCAGGGACAATTCTTGCACAACGCATTCCCTCTTCGCAGGCTGGAAGTAGGGGTTGATCTTGGGGTAGAGGAGCTGGGACACCCCTCCCCCTCTATTTCTTACTTCCCCGGGCCGGAAAGTACCCTAAATCCTGCAGGGGTGGAAGAAGTGCAGCACAGTTTCGTCAAATGGTAGTCAGAGGCTGGACAGTGCGCGCATCTGGGGAACCTGAGGTCCGGCCCGCGTGTCTCCGCGCACCCCGCCGCGCTGGCGTTCCGCGGGAGCGAACGGCGCGCCTGGCGGCCGCCCTGCCCGCGCTGGGGGCGCTGACGGCGTGCGCGCATGTGCAGTGGGACACCGCCTCGCCCGAAGCGGCCGCGCTCTTCTCCCTCGCTGCCCAACGCGCTGCAGCTGCGCGCCTTCGCGGAGCCCGTGGGCGCCGTGCGCGCCGCGCTGGTGGTGCGCGGGCACCACGCGCCCTTCCACGCCGCCTTCCGCGCCGACGACCGCTGGCACCAAGTGTGCGCCACGTGGGACCAGCGCGGCGGGCTCTGGGCGCTGTTCGCCGGGGCTGGGCGCAGGCCACCCGGTGCCGCCTGGTGGCATTGTGGTGCTGGGACAGGATCAGGATGCCCCCGGCGGCGGCTTCTCGGCGCGTGACGCCTTCAGTGCCAACCTCACCGACTTCCACTTCTGGGACCGGGCCCTGAGCGCCGCGCAGCTGCGCCGGGCTCGAGGCTGTGCGCCTCCCCCCGGCGGCCTGCTCTTCCGCTGGGACCCCGGCGCCCTGGAGGTCACGCCCCCGCTTCTGCCTGTGGTGCAAGTGAATCTGCTCTGTCCGGGCATGGAAGGCTCGGACCCAGCCTGTCAGACCCTGCCCGGTAGCTGGCACGAGGCCCCGCCCCTCCAGGCTGCTCAATGCCCCGCCCCCGGCTAACAAACCCCGCCCCTGATTGGCAGACCCCGCCCCTCCGGGCTGCTCAACGCCGCGCCCCTGATTGGCTGGCTTTGGCCCCACCCTCTGTCTCACGACCCTTTCCCCCCTACTGCCCTACCTAACCCTTGGCCAGCCAGGCTCCATTGAGGACCTCCAGTGCCGGTGCTGTCTCTTACGCTTCCAATTCTGTTGGGGGGTGGGGAAGGTGGGACTCGCCAGGTGCCTTTCCCACATCTCACAGGGCAGAATAACCCTGCAGCAGTGCGTCCTGTGACAGGTGTCCCCGTGGCCTGCAAAGGTGCCTGGGTCACGTGACTTGCCAAGGAATCAGGTGTGATCTTGATACTTCTAACCCTGGCCAGTGCCCTCAGAGAAATGTCCCACATGGAACCCGGGACCCAGCACCGAGGGCTCCGAGCTCTGCTTGCAGTCCAGGCCCTTCCTCTGCTGCTATAGGACAGGGACATCCTAGTCGTGTCCCTGGGCCCTGCAGAAGGGGAAGGCGATGGAGACAAGACAATGGTATAGCCTGGGAAGTATGAGCTCTCGACCTGGAATCTGAGCCCACCCAGCAGTGGGACCAGACGGCCCAGGAGTGTGTCTTTGGGTGGGTGATTTTGCCGTATGATGCCATCTAGCACACTGTGTAAGGCTGTAGACACAAAGCTTGGATGTGCTCTTCTGCCCTTGGGCCTCACCTGGTGGGTGGAGGTCATTGAGCAGGCTGGCACCTCTGGGCACAGATGTTACTCAGAGCCCAGCTTGGCATCTACTTTTGCAGAGACCTATAAGCAGCTGCAAGACTTCCAGTCATGGCGGGGCCAGGATGTTATCAGCGGTGTCAACACCTTGGCCAATGCCACTGTGGTGAGCCTGCTCCCATGGCTGGAGGCAGGAGGGTCTGGGGTACTCTGGGGCCTCTGCACCATTTGCTCACCTGTAAGGTAGTCTTCAGTAATTAATAAGGTTCTTCATATTTTCTATTTTAACCTGAAACATGCCTCCAGCCTCCATTCTCCCTATTTCAGAGCTCCTCAGAACTGGGAGCTTATGATTCATTTAACCAGCACCCTCAAGAAGACCCTGGCAGAGTCCAAGTGAGGCCCCCTGACAGGAATCAATGGGCTACTCTTCCCATAGCTCCTTTGAGACCTTCTCTCCGGAGTTCCCGACACCGTGTCCCTGGATGGGGCTGTCAGTTTCCTGGGCATCCTGGAAAAAGTCCTAGAAGAGGAGACAGCTCCACTGGGGCCAGCTGCACTGCTGGCTGTCCTGCACTTCCTAAACAGAGTGACAGCACTTGGGGCCGAGGGGCCAGGCCCCTTACCAGGGCCCTGGGAGCAGCTGGGCCAGGGTGTCATTTCTGTGGTCAGCCTGGTTCTGGAGGAGCCGTTGGTTGGCACATGGCTGTCCATCACTGGCAGTGCTGGCCAGGAGTCTGAACTTTGGGACCTTGTCACCAGCTTATGTAACTATGAGCAAGTCAGGGCTCTTTTTTTATTGGGGGAGGGGGGGGCGGAGCTCCTTCCATCCCTTGGGAGAAGTTTCTGTTTTGTTTATTTTATAAGCTGACCTTGCACTTGAACTATTTAGCAGCATTGCCTGTTGATAAAAGTAATTCAGAGCCACTAGTCAATAAGGGCTTTCCCCAGATCCAAAAAACAAACAAACAAACAAACAAAAAACTGCCAAAGACCACAAGTGGTAAGTTCTGTATGTCAGCCCATCCAAACAGCCAGATACTCCAGAGAACAGTTGGAGAGGCTGTTGAAAGATTTATCCTGGCAAGAGTGGCCACAGGTCTGAGAGTGATCCGTCCAGAGAAGGAAGGGAACAAGAGGTCACAGACATTATCTGTAAATCTCTAGGGCTGAAGGAGCAGACATAGTGCTCTTCTGACCTTAGAAGAGAATTAGGAGCAGGATGTAGGATGGGGAGAAGGGTAGAGAATGGCACAACACAGGATGGTGGTTCCTCGGAGTGGGTCTCCTGAACAGGTAGAGACCTCCCTCCCCTGGGAAGATTGCATTTGATTAGGGATCAGCATAGGAGACAGCTGGAATCTGCACCTATTTTCTTCCCTGGAGAAGGAGGATTCATTGCCTTAGGCATTGAAGAGGAGTTGAAGGTGAATTGGGTGGCCAGGCCCAGCATAACTGGGGGGGTTTCCACAGTGCCTGTCCTCCCCTCCCTCCTTTGCGTTTGCCCCTCCCCTGCTCTCACTCCCACAAGGCTTTTTTTGTTTTCAAATCAAATATGAGCTCCTAATATAGATTTAGCAGTGGGTCCACAGTCAAGGAGGAGAGGGCTAGACTCAGCCGCAGGATGCGCTCTGATGGGCAATGACAGGCCAGGAGCACAGGGGCCTGCAGTTTGAGGAAAGGATGGGGGAGGGGGACAGGCAGGGCTTGATCCCAAAGCCCCAGGACCCCCTGGAGGTCTAGAGCTCAGGACCACCACCCCGATCATTGAGGCCCTTAACTCCAGGCCAGCATGGAAGCATCAGGGTGAGGGGCGGGAGAGGGAGCTGAGATGCCACTTCCTCCCAGATGGCTGGTGGACCTATGGCCCTGGTGGCCAGTGTGCAGCGCCTGGCACCCCTGTTGAGCACCATGCTGACCTCTGAGAAACCCCGGGTGCACATCCAAAGCCACCATGCTGGTGAGCCTCCACCCAGCCACCCACCCAATCAGGCTGTGGAGCCTCTACACTACCACAGACCTTCCATGCTGGTGCCTGCCTTTGCCCGTGCTGTCCCCTCTACCAGAATGTGCTTCACCCTTGAGCTGCTAACAAACTTCTATACGTCCTTCGGAGCCCCGTTTAAGTATCGCCTCCTCTAGGAAACCTCCCTATTTATCTCCTAATAGAAACTCCCTCTTTAATTAACCCTTAAATGTGTCCCTAATTGTGTTTCTGGTAATTACATAATAAACTTACCCCCACCCCCACCTCACTGACACCATTCCCTCACCCCAATTTGGAAAAGCCAGATCTGCCTTGGGCTAGTGACTGAGCTTCTCTGAGCAGGAATGGTGGCCTTCCAGACTTGGGGCAGGAAGGGGTAGGCAGACCCCAGGGCCAGGCAGCCCCGCAGAGAGTCCTCCCCACACGTACCTCAGGCTGTCCACCAGCTCCATTTCATCCCAGGTCTGGAGGTGCAGAGTGTGCACCTGTTGGAGGCCAGCACAAGAGGCCACACATTCACAAAGCCCAGTGGGCATCCAGAGTGGGCCGGGCCACCTCCATATCCCTGCAGGGGAAGTGAGGCAGCTGCTCAGTAAAGGTGGGTGAAGATGGGGGAGGCGAAGGAGTCCAAACCTCAGCCCTGCCAAGCCAGCTGTGCTACATCGAATGGATTCCTTAGGGTTTCCTTAGCTGCAGGCTGGGCTCGTGATTCTTGCCTCGTGGGTGCCTGGCACCTCTGGTGTTTGCTTAGTCTCCTCCACTAAACCCTACAAGGATTTCCTCAGAAGTGGATGGTAGCAGCAGCCCTGCCCTTAAGGCCAACCAGGGGTGGAGGCTTAGGGTAAGGAAGATGAAGCTGATTGGCTGTGTGAGCTTCGGGAAGTTGTTGGCTTCTCCAAGCCTGTTTTCCCAGCAGTCACTGGGTGGGGGCTTGGGTCCCCCCTGTACCCAGCCAGGCCTCTCTGGAGTTACAGTGATCCCCAGCTGGTTCACCTCAAGCGTCTTTCGGCATACCTTGGGATTGCACAGACTGGCGCCCCAGATCCCCGACCCCTCACAGGAGACCAGCAAGGGACAGAGAATGGACTCTACCCTGGAGGCTACTGTGGACCTCTGAGGCCTCCATTCCCCCCCCCCAGCTCCCAGCCTGCTTTCCCTGCCCCCTACTTCTGGTCTCTGGTGGAACCCCGCTCACCCCTGAGATGCTCAGCCATGCATCTCCCACCACCCCTCCCCTAAAAGCACCCTTTGCTCCACAGGATACTAAGCACCCAGGTGGGCTCGGCCATCCTGGCCTCTGAGGTGTGGGATGCTGCTGGAGAGGTCAGCACGGCCGTGACCTTTCACCTGCAGCACCAAACTCAGGTATCAGGGAACAGGAAGGGAGAGTGAAGTGTGGCACACTGACTTTATGCCACCGACCGGAAATCCTCAGCATCATCTAATCTCCCACGGCCCACTTCCAGTATTGCCTGGGAGAGGTCATGTGACTGGCCAGAGTGAGGATTTCATTCCAGGGATGAGTAACCTGGAAAGCAAGATTATTCTGGCCATATCAAGGTGTGAGTTCGGAGAAATGTTGGGGGGACATTCCCTGTACTATGCAGCATCGGACTGAACACAGCCTGGGGTGCAGCTCTGTGGGAGAGCACTTGCCTACACCCAAATATCTTGAAAATGGTACAACATTTCAGAGCATGTGCAGCTGACACCCATATGCACTCTTGCATGCATACACGCACACACCATTGCTTGTTTTCTTGTGTCTCCTCCTAGCACTTTTTTTTATGATTATCTTTGTGTGTGTGTGTGTGTGTGTGTGTGTGTGTGTGTGTGTGTGTGTGTGTGTGTGCGCGCACGCGCGTGCGTGCAGTCTTGGAGCTTGAACTCAAGGCCCAGCACTACTACCTCTTAGCCTATTCACTCAAGGCAAAGCACTCTACCACTTGAGCCACAACTTCATTTCTGACTTTTTGGTGGTTAAACTGGAGATGAGTCTTACGGACTTTCCTGCTTGAACCTTGATCCTCAGGTCTCAGCCTCCTAAATATCTAAGATTACAGGTGTGAGCCACCAACACTGGGCTGAGACATGGTATCTTAACAGTGAGTCTTCCAATACATGATCAAGGTCTATCCTTCTACTTATTTAGGTTTCTGATATTTCTCCCAGCAGGGTACATAGTTTTTACTTTGAAGACATTTTGTTCAATATATTTTGTTAAATATATGTGCTAAATTTGTATTCCATCCCCACAGAACAAATGTTTTTATTTGTTTATTTTTATTTTATTGTATTTTACTTTATTTTTGAGTGAACATACATTTATAGTACAAAGGGTTTTGTACTTTGAATAAAATCACCCCTTCTGCCCTATGCCCATTCCTTCATTCCTTTCTCTCTTTTTTTTTTTTTTGATTATGAGGCTCAAGCTCAGAGCCTACCACTTTGAGCCACAGCACCACTTCCAGTTTCTGAGGAATTAATTGCAGATAAGAGTCTCATGGGGACTTTCCTGCCCAGACTGGCTTTGAACTAAGATCCTTAGATCTCAGCCTCCTGAGTAGCTAGGATTACAGGTGTGAGCCACTGGTGCCCTGACAGGCTCAGGTTCTGAAACAACTTTAATCTCTTCTGAGGATGAGGCCACCAGTGACTTTGGACTGGGACCTACTGTTTTTTGTTTTCTGTGTTTGTTTTTCTTTGTGTCAGTCCTGGGACTTGAACTCAGGGCCTGGACACTGTCCTTGGGATTTTTTTCTTTTATTTTTTGCTCAGCGTGCTGGTGGATCACCGCTGTAATCCTAGATACCCTTCTCAGATAGGGTATGTATCACAGTTTTGTATGTGATCACAAATGGTATTATTTTCTTAATTCAGTTTAAAACCATTCATTGCTAGCATATCAGAATGCAATTGGTTTTGACAGAATGTCATTGCTTCTGAGCTCACTTGGCCCTTCCAGTCCTGGATCCAGTCTTTTGGAGCCTTGAGTTTTCTACATTCCTTATCATGTTGTCTAGAGGTGGAGACAGGAATTTTCTTCTCAGGTCCACATCTTATATTCCTTTGTCTTGCCTGATTGCATGGGCTAGGATCACTAATCCTGTGGTGAATAGTAGCAATAAGGCCACACATCCTTGTCGGGTTCCCCACCTTAGAGGAAAGCATCTAGTCTTTTACATTAAGTGGATTTAAAAGTCCTGTGGAGGGCTGGGAAGGTGGCTCAGTGGTAAGAATGCTTGCCTTGCATGCATGAGGCCCTGGGTTCGATTCCTCAGCACCACATAAGCAGAAAAAGCTGTAAGTGGCACTGTGTCTCAAGTGGTAGAGCACTAATCTTGAGCTGAAGAGCTCAGGGATGGCGCCCAGACCCAGAGTTCAGGTACCACGACCGACAAAAAAAAAAAAAGTACTGTGGACTTTTTATAGATGCCCATCCACTTAAATTCCCTTCTCTTCCTGGTTTGCTGAGAGGTTGTTTTCTTTTGTTGTTGTTGTTGTTTTATGGGGTTTTTAAAAATCGGTTTGAGGGGCTGGGAAGATAGCTCAGTGGTAGAGTGCATGCCTTGCAAGCATGAGGCCCTGGGTTCGATTCCTCAGCACCACATAAACAGAAAAAGCCGGAAGTGGCGCTGTGGCTCCAGTGGTAGAGCACTAGCCTTGAGCTGAAGAGCTGAGGGACAGCGCCCAGACCCAGAGTTCAGGCCCCATGACCGGCAAAAAAAAAAAAAAAAAAATCGGTTTGAATAGCTGGTAAATTTTTGGCCAAGTGATTTCTCCATGTTGACACGACTCTATGATTTTCTCTTTCATTCTGACAGTACAGTAACTTGCACTTGTTTATATTTCCAAATGACTTTTAATGTATTTTAATTTTTTAATGAATGCATAATTGTTGTGCATACTTAGAAGGTTCAATGTGATATTTCAATAGATGTAACCTAATCTTGTCTAAGCCTCAACTTACACAGTTATTGTCATGACCACAGTAAAAGACACGATGGTGCTTTCTCAGAAACACCAAATGACAGGACACTGCAGACCCTTGTCAGGATATATAAAACCCAAGTCCTAAGTTCAGGCTGCCTTTGCTGCCTACCACTGATGACAACTCAGAAAATCTACATTGTTGTTTTCATCTAGTTACTTAGGACTAACCTGTTCACCATATCCATTTAATACCTACCACTTGTTAGACTTTGTGTTTACAATATCACTACTACATGGAGCTTAGCTCTATGGGACCTCGTACCACAAAAAAAAAAATGCTTGGTAGCTCTTCCCTTGCTGAACAAGGAATCACAGAGATCTTTTTGCACCAGTGCATAGAGACTCATTTGTTGTTGGTTTTTTCAGATCCCAGCCATCCCTTGAAAGAAAGTCATGGTTGTGATGGTTGGTTATTAGTTTTCAACCAGTTTGTGTGTGTGTGTGTGTGTGTGTGTGTGTGTGTGTGTGTGTTTGGTATTAGTCCCCATCTCTCCTTCCCTTTTGCCCCTTGTGCTACATTTCTCCATCCCTTTTACCTGTGACCCATGATAGTCAACCACAGTCACCTGGAGTAGTGGTATGCCTCTGTAACCCCAGAATTCCAGATGCTGAGGCAGGGGGTGGTGATTTTCGGGTCATCCTGGGCTAATAGCGAGACCCCGCCACGTCATCTCATAAAACAACAGCCTACAGTCCTCGGCATCCCCTCCCCCCTCCTTCCTTTATCTTCTCTCTCTCTCTCTCTCTACATACCTACCACACACACACACACACACACACACACACACACACACACACACACACACATCTCTATCTGTCCTTGGTTCCTGCCCCTAGGCCTTCTGTGCTTTCTGGAACTTCAGTATCAGGTGAGTTTCCATATCTGTACTCTGTAAATAAAGCCTTTTTTTTTTTTTTTGTCAGTCGTGGGGCTTGAACTCGGGGCTTGGGTGCTGCCCCTCAGCTCTTCGGCTCAAGGGAGAGCTCTACCACTTGAGCCACAGCGCCACTTCTGGTTTTCTGGTGGTTAATTAGAAATAAGAGTCTCATGGACTTGGGGTGGGATAAAAAAAAAAAAAAGAGTCTCATGGACTTTCTTACCTGGGCTGGATTTGAACCGTGATCCTCAGATCTCAGCCTCTTGAGTAGCTAGGATTACAGGCGTGAGCCACCAGCACCCAGCTCTAAAGCCTTTTTCTTTTTTGGGGGGGGGAGGGCGGTCGTGGGGCCTGAACTTGCGACCTGGGCACTGTCCCTAAGCTCTTCAGCTAAAGGCTAGTGCTCTATCACTTGAGCCACAGCGCCACTTCCAGCTTTTTTCTTTTTGCTTATGTGGTGCTGAAGAATCGAACCCAGGGCCTCATGCATGCAAGGCAAGCGCTCTACCACTGAGCCACCTTCCCAGCCCAAGCCCTTTTTTTTCTAATGCTTGAAAGTGAGGCAGAACTCAGGCATGTTTGGGGCCTCCACACTTGCCTGACAGGGGCAATTCCAGGCTCTACCCAGCTCCAGGACAAGTGAGGTAGAATGTGTCACCCTGAGGTAGTGAGCTCCCTGACCAAGGAGGTATGTAAGACAGGTGGGTATGACTTGGGAGGAAGCTTGTCTGTCAAGTGACTTTTCGATGTGATAATATGTAAGGCCAGGGCCTGGGGGTTGGAAGGGAAAAGGAGGCTCTGGGATGCACCACCAACATCCTGTCCTGAGTTCAAACTGATGAATATCCTTCACAGCTGCAGGTGCAAAATAGCAAACACCCATGCTGGCTCTGTCTGCTACCATCTCAGGGAAGTTTATGCACATTTGAGCGATTGGCAGCTAGGGCTGGGGAGGTTCGTTCAGTGACCCGCCAAGGTCCCACTGCTGCATACAGGCAGGGTAGCCATGGGTTCTAGGCATGAGGAGAGGCCTTCCCCGGCCTGCCCTTGGCCCTTACCCCAGGTCACCCCATCTCAGCAGCCCTTCTGTTCTCTCCCTGCCCAAGCCCAGACACCGGGGGCTCATGGGCCACCTCTGGCTGCTCCAGGCTCGCCTTGCACGAAGACTCCACAGAACGCTTGTGCAACCACAGCACCAACTTCGCTGTCCTGCTGCAAGTGTATGAGGTCCAGGTGAGGAAGTGATGCTGGAATCCCTTAGAGAATCAACAGCTGCATAAGCGGAATGGAGCGGGAAGGGCAGGGCGGGGACCGAGGTCCAGGCCTCGGTGGCCTCCGGACTCTGAAAAGGACGCAGGTGGATAAACAGGGATGGGTAGCATGTGGAGGTGCAAGGGCTGCAAGCATGTGGGGTCTGGTGTTTGTGTTGGAGTGTCTCTGGGTGTCCTCTGTCCTGTTCTACCCAGGCCCCTGTGCCCAGGAGCATCCCCTCCAGTTCAGGGCTGTGCTTAAGCAGTAAATGGGCCTGCCTAGGCAGAGAAGCACACGCATGCAGGTTGGGCCACACCCCTCCCTGCTTTGAGGAGGAGGAGGAGGAGGAGGAGGAGGAGGAGGAGGAGGAGGAGGAGGAGGAGGAGGAGGAGGAGGAGGAGGAGGAGGAGACGACCTGGGAGCCTCCATGTTGCCAGGCTAAGAGAGTCTACTCCCATCTAGTGGTGAGAGCTTCTCCCTCCTCACAGAGAGGCCCAGAGGAAGAATCTCTGCTGACAACTCTCTCCTTTGTGGGCTGTGGCGTGTCCTTCTGCGCCCTCACTACCACCTTCTTGCTCTTCCTGGCAGCTGGGTAAGAAGAGTGGACCATGCCTTTGCCCAAGGCTGCCCCTTTGCGAGTGCCATGCCAGGGGTCTGTCCTTGGTCCCCGTGGTCTGGATTGGGGACCCCAGGGATTGGGGGGTAGGGGACTGAGAAGGGGTGGAGCTGGTGGGGCTGTTGTTAACTCCACCCTCTGCCTGCCAGGGTCCCTAAGTCTGAGCACACCACAGCCCACAAGAACCTCACTCTGCCGAGTGCTTCCTCATGGCCAGAGAGTGGGCAAAGGCCAACAAGGTGGACACTCAGCCTTGCAAATGTGGGGGGGGCGTTGGGGAGGCAGAAAAGCACCAGTGGCCTTGTCTAGGTTGCCCTCCCCCCCGCCCCCCGCCCCGCCATCCTTGCCTGATTCCATTCTCCTGGGGAGAAGTAAGGACCAGATGGCAGAACTCATGGCCTGCCCGAGGGCCTGGGCCTGCGATTCCTGTTCAGGGCAGCAATGCCAGGAGTGGGCATGGGACTTTGGACAGAGCTGACCTTGTGGGGTCCCCCTGCCCTCCTGCAGGCAGCGTGTGTGGCCGTCACAGCTGCAATGCACCTCCTCTTTTTGGTGGCGTTCTCCTGGATGCTGGTGGAGGGCCTGCTGCTGTGGAACAAGGTGGTATCTGTGAGCATGCGCCCTGGACCCAGGATGAGGTGCTACTATGCCATGGGCTGGGGTAAGGCCCCACCCTCACTCTTGTGCCGCTCAGTACCCCTCCACGCCAGTACAGTACCACCCAGCCCCATCTCCATCACCATTCAGCTTCACCCAGGACCACCTAACACTCAGCACCCAGCTCCACTCAGTGTACACCTTTCCTCAGAACCACCTATCATCCAGTACCCAGTATTGCCCAGCACCACTCAGTACTCATCTTCACCCAGAACCACCTAACATCCAGCACCACTCAGTGCTCCTGTCTACCTAGAACCACCCAGCACCACCATGCCCATCTTTGGGCCACACCCCCTTAACAACCACCACTGAAGGGACTTGTTTTTTTCCCCCATCTTTACCCAACCCAAGTTGGTCTTCATCCTACTCCACTAACAGCCTCAGCCCCCGCCTCCAGGGCTGCCCTCAGTCCATGACCAGCTACCTCCATGCCAATCAGCCTCCTCCTCAACATCTGCCCACCCTGACTCTTCTGTCCAACCCCCCCTCCCAAATTCTCATCACTCAGTGGTGCCCAATAGTGTAAGGCCTCCAGCCCTGCCCTAGCCTCCTCAAGGCACCCAGTACCACTGCTTCCAAGGGACAGCCACAGGCTCAGCCCCCAGGACTGGGAGAGGGGAGTCCTGGAAAGAAAGGCGTTGTAGCATGGCTGCATTCTTTAGGTGTGCCCATGGTCATCATGGCCCTTACCCTGGCCACGCACCCCCATGACTATGTAGCTGCCGGGCACTGCTGGCTGAACGTGCACACAGACAACACCTGGGCCTTTGTGGGACCCATGCTCTTCGTGCTCACGGTGAGCTAGGAGGTATGGGGCCCTGCAGGGAAGGGAGGGCTTGAGGATGGGGCCTGCTCAGTCCCACTGATACCAAGTCCGCAGGCCAACACCTGCATCCTGGGCCGTGTGGTGACGGTCACTGTGTCCAGTGCCTGGCGCTGTTCCCGCATGCTGAGCCCACAGCCGGGCCTGCAGCAGCAGATTGGGGGCCAGATGTGGTGAGTGAGGCCCAGCATGGAGGCGGGAGAGGCCAGCCAGCGCTTGTGTGCATCAGCGCAAGGTATGGCTGTGTAGCCTCAGGTAGGCGTGAATGCGCCCATGTACGGCATGTGAGGATGGCCAAGAGTTAGTGTGGACCTCCCAGAGGCGCACACACACACACACACACACACACACACACACACACACACACACACACACACACACACACACACACACAGGAGGACCAGGTAGGGGACCTCCCCCACAAAGCCAGTCAATCCCCAGAAGTTCAAGTTGAGAGTGAGGATGCAAATTCGCACCCCTGCCAAGAACCCCCATGGTGCTCCAGCACTACTTGTGCTGAAAGGTGGGGGGAGGCATTCTGTGGCCTCTGTCCACAATCCTCCTCCTCCTCTGCCTCCTTCTCCCTCCCTGTCCTCCACCATGGTAAGCCACACATCCGTGAGTCCCTGAAGAGCATAGAACCTGGGGTTCCTTCAGAGGGGGAACCTCTGACCCCTGCACTCCAGTCCAGGCCTCGTCGATCCTTCTGGAAAGTTACCCCCCACTTCCTCGAGCCAGATTTGGTACTGGTCCCCATCTTCCCTAGGCTGCCTGTTCTGTGACTGGAGAAGGCAGAGAGTCCTGTAGCGCTGCTGTCACCCGGTCTGCAGTTTGAGCCCCTCTCTGGCTACCTCCTTCTCCAGCTACACCCCCAGGAGCACCAGGGTAGCACCCAGGCTTCCCTGGACCCTCAGCCCCAGCCCTCCCTCCCTCAGGGCCACAGTGCAACCGGTGCTCATCCTGCTGCCCTTCCTGGGTCTGAGCTGGGCGGTCGGCCTCCTGGTTCACCTTAGCCCTGCCTGGACCTATGCTGCCATGGGCCTCAATTCCTTCCAGGTACCTCCTGAGCCTGACATGGGAACTAGAGCTGTCACACACACAGGAACTCAGAGGGGTCGTGGTGTGGCCAGCTGGAGGAGAGCGGGAGCGTCCCATCACCAGAGGCATTCAACAGCACACCTGCTCGGAGGAGGGGCTGAGGAGACTTGGTGATGGGTAATCTCAAATCCGGGAGCAGAGCCTTCCAATGAGGCTTTGGGGCCCATCTGACATTTAGGCAGGCTGAGGCCCACAAAGAGGATGGTTAAGGGTATGCCTTGCAAATAAGGAGACTGTGTGGCTCTCAGAAGCCCTTCTGGGCCTGAACAGTGGAGCATGGCGGGGCGGGGGGGGGAGTGGCGCTGTACCCCCCTCCTAGACAGCCAAACCCCTTCTAAGTACCCAGCACTGCTTGAGCTCCATTTCAGCTTTGCCCCTGTGGTCTAGTGACCCTGGCGAAGTGAAGGGCCACAGTGAAGCGCTGAGGCACTGAGGGTGGCAGCAACTCGTTTTCATGGCGACCGTTGCAGTTGGTTGCCTGGTACTGTCCCATCTCTGCCTGCGCGCCTCAGGTGGGCAGGGACACCCGATGCTCACCACCATCTCCGCTCTTTTCTTCCTTCCCTCCCTCTTTTCTCCTCCTGTGCCTGTCTTGGCCTCTTGCCTCACCTTTATCCGATTCCCTGTGGGTGTGCTTTGTCAGGCCTGTCCCTGGCTCTGCTCCAGGCTGAGTCCTCGGGGCTCTCAGCGCTGCTGTTCCCCCATGCTGGCCTTTCCTCCTCCCTCCTCCATCTACCTCTGCGTTTTTCCCCTTCCACTGGCCCTTCAGCCCTGACCCTTTCTCTCTCTTCATCATGGCCACAATCTGAGCAAGGACAGTAGGACATTAACCTCAGGACAGTAACCAGTTGACCAGATCTAGACCCTGAAGGGTCTAGAATGGGCTCAGCCTCCTTCAGGAGAGATTGTCTGATCTTCTGATCTTCTGTCAGGTTCCGAGGGACAGCAAGGCCTCGCCTCCCTAACAAGTTGTATATAGCTCATACCTTCCCTGGGGCAAAGTCTTGCGAGGCCTAGACAGGTTGAGCCAGGGACTGAGTTTCTACTTCTGTATGGCGGCTGGATTCCCACACACCCGAAGGAAGCACTGAGGGGTTCTACTGAGACAAAAAGCTAAAGCAGCCAGGTGCCGGTGGCTCACACCTGTAATCTCAGGAGGCTGAGATCTGAGGATCGCAGTTCAAAGCCAGCCCAGGCAAGAAAGTCCATGAGACTCTTATTTCCAATTAACCACCAGAAAAACAGAAGTGGCGCTGTGGCTCAAGTGGTAGAGCACTTGCCTTGAGCTGAAGAGCTGAGGGACAGAGCCCAGGCCTAGAGTTCAAGCCCTACAACCACCACCAATGACAACAAAAAACAGGCCTTGGTCCCGTGGGTCCCTGGGAACAGCATGGCAGATGGCCTCTTCCAGGACAGGACAGGGCAGGACAGGGCAGGGCAGGGCTGGGCCGGGCTGGGCAGGCAGGATCACATTTGCTTCTGTGTGCCTCGGGTGGGCTATCTCTGCTGGGCCGGGTGACTCTGGGGGCTTTGTCCCTAGGAATGTGGGAGGCTAGGCTGGGGGAGGACAGAGTGGGGTCAGATGGGGATCCACAGCAGTGACACGAGGTCTGTCCTCAGGGCCCATACATCTTCCTGGTCTACGCTGCCTTCAGTGGGGAGGTGAGTGAGGTTCCCGAGGCTGCAGGAAACAGAGGGGCCACGGGGAGGGTGAGATTGTCCCCCAGCCCTAGGCCCCCTTCAGTCCTGCAGGCTGGAGGCCTGGGTCAGCGAGGACCCCAGGGTCATCCACGCTGTCCTGTAGGTATGGAGTGGCCTGCAGAGGATGTTGGAGAAGGCGGCGGCCGAGGAGCTTCCAGTGGGACAGGTCAGAGGCCTGGCCATGGTGGGAGGTCTCAGCTCTGAGGTCCAAGCTGAAGTCCTCTCCTTTCAGACCCGCTTGGGACCAGCCAGCCTGCCGCCTCCAGGTCCCTGGGCAGTGGCTCAGGGCACTGCAGCCTCAGCTCCATCACAAAGAGGTCTGGCCTCACCACCTGCCCCAGCCCCAGGATTGCCCAGGGCCTCAGTTTCCCCAACACTTACTAACTCATATATTTCTCCTTACTAGGGACCCATGGTCCCAAGACCCCCACAGCCTTCTCCCCCATTGCAGAATCCAAAAGACAGGTGAGACAGGGTCATGCCGGACCCCCACAAGGCACTGCCAGAGGGTCAGTAGGTGTGTTGGCAAGACGGGGTGGCAGCAGGGACTAGAGTTAGGGGTGCATTTGCTGGGGTCTGTTCAACAGGTGCTGGACTGAGGGTGGAGGAGCAGCTGGGAGCTGCAGCCTGAATGCCTGTCAATCCCAAAGCTGAGGCTGGCGGTGGGGAGAGGGAGAAGTTGTCTCTGAGTTAGCCAGGGGTCCCCAGGACATGGGGGAGAAGGGTTCAACCTATTCCCCTCTTCTTCAGGCTGTGGAGCTAACAGCATTGAAGGCTTCAGGTATTTGGCCCCTCAGGGGCTCCCCGTTTAGGTCTGGACACCCTCTTCTACCACTGTCCTAACTTGCTGCTGGTGCACAGGAGGTCCTAGGAAATGAGCTGGTTCGGGAGGAAGAGGGTGGAGCCCTTCCCTGAGCTGGTGCCTCTCGGAAGGGGCAATGATCAAAGCATTCTGTCTTCTCTGTCCACGCCTCTCCCTGGCCCCTGTCCAGCGCCCAGCCTCCCAACCCAGGCCTGGTACCCCAAGAATCCCTCAGGGCACCTGCAGAAGGGGTATGGGAAGGGGCCTGTGGGCAGCTGAGCAAGGCTGGGGACAGTCTAGGTCCTGCTCAGGAGGAGGACTGAGTTGGAAGTGGCTCAACCTGAAATGCACCGGGGCACATTTGGTGCACTGTCAGCTTCTGTGCCTCAGTTTCCACAATGTTAGGGCAAGTCCTTCTGGTCTCAAATACTATTTCCGGGAACAGCGAGAGGACTGTCTATGGGCCAGGCTGTGCCCCCTCAACACACACACCTCCCCCAAGGCATAGGCTACTTCAAGTTCAGTGGCTGGTGAGGCCAAGGACAGTTTTCTCCCATTGTGCTGCAAGTCACTGGCAGGGCTGGAGCCAGGCCCCCTGCACAGATGAGAGAAACTGAGGTACAAGGCCAGGCACGTGGGCGTAAGGGCGGCACACCATCCCTCACCCCGGCAGCATCTGCCCCAGCTGGTGCTCAGCCCCTAGGAGCAGCAGCTGCCTTTCCACAAAGTGGGCCGGAGGCGCCCCCTGCAGGCCAGCCTGGGGGATGCAGGCCCCGGCTCGGGCAGATCCAGGGCCCGGCGCCCCGCACCCCGCGGTGCAGCCCCCGGCTCCAGCCCCCACCCGCAGGCGCAGCCGCCTACAAGAACAAGAGCCGCAGCGGCGCCTCTGCGCTCAAGTGACAGCGCCTTTGTCTCTGCTGAATGAGTGCGTTGCTAGGGCTGCTCGTAGCAACCGAGCCGCTTCTACCTGGGCCCCACCCTCCAGGCCCCCACCCCTGGCCCGGCCCCTGGTGATGCACCCCGTTCCTAGCCCCACACACACACACTCCCTCCCGCAGCCTGAGTGAGGGGGCAGGGAGTGGAGTTGACCCCTGCAGGTGTTCCGATGTTCTGAAAATGGGGAAACTGAGGATCAGAAAGGCCACCCTGGTTAATCACGGAGGGCTGAAGCCAGGATTCCACTCCAGCCTGTTGCCAGGTCCTTCCCCATCTTGGCCATCAGCCTAGACTGGAGAGCCACTTTTCCTGCCAGAGGTGGACCGTGCCTGAGGGCCGGCCTGGGATCTCTTCCCCAGAACCCAGCGGGGATGCCACGTGTGATGAACAGCCAGGCCCAGCCCGCCCCACGGCCTCGCTCCCGGGGGGATCCCCTGGCCCCTCGCTGTCTGTCTGTCTGCTCCTGTTCCACCTGCCCAAATGTTGAAGTGCCCTGCTATGTGTGTGATAAATATACTGTCCCTTGCTGTCTGGGGTCCCTCCTGGCTTGAGGACACGGAAGAGGTGCCAGGCCGTCTGGGAAGAGGGGGTGGGGGGCAGGTCCTCTTCTCCTGACTCAGGCCTCTTGGCACATGGCACAAAGGGCAGGGTGGAACTGGAGAGCAACAGAACCCCTCCCTGGGCTACCGAGCTGAAACTGGGGGGGACAGGGGAGGCAAAAGTGGGTGGGGTGAATGAGAAGCACGGAGATCCAACCAGGCACTGTGGCCTTGGTGGCCTGCCCTGGACCTTACATGGGCTGCTCTGGGACAAGGAGACATCCAGGGGTTCGGGCATTTTGGGGAGATTGGTGCTGTTTGAACAGAACAGGGAACATCAGGCCATGTGACACAGTGGGTTCTAAGCACACAGTGGATACTCTGGAATGGTCAGCTGTTGCCAGAGACATGGGGCTATGGGGTCCACAGAAGGCCATGTTTGAGGCCTTGAAGGTGCCAGGCCAGGCTGGCCAGAAGTCCTGAGAGGAGCTGGTGTGCCCATTTGAGGGCAGGGCCCCTGCCCTGTGCTGAGAAGACTAGCAGAAGCCTGGCATCGGTGGCTCACACCTATAATCCTAGCTACTTAGGAGGATGAGATCTGAGGATCACGGTTCAAAGCCAACCTGAGCAGGAAAGTCCGTGAGACTCTTATCTCCAGAAAACTGGAGGTGGAACTGTGGCTCAAGTGATAGAGTGCTTGCCTTGAGCTGAAGAGTTCGGGGACAGTGCCCAGGCCCAGGCCCCACAACCACCAACAACAACAATAAAAAGACTAGCAGAAGGAGGGAGGGCAGGGCAGGGCAGGGCAGGCCCTGCGGAGTGTCAGCTTGGCCCCAGCAGAGCATCTGCCTGCTGCTGGCAAGAGGCTGGAGGGGCTCCAGGGAGGTGGAACTGGAACCCTGTATCCCCAGTGCCTTGTATCCCCAGTGTCCTCTGACTCTTCTGTCCTCTTTTTCAGAAGACTTCTACAACCATTATAAAGAGCAATTATTTGAGATTCATTGAGTTGGACAAGATAGATCAGGACAATGGAGGTTTGAAGATGGCTGTGCTCATTCTCAGCTGTGTGGACTTGAACACAACATAGGCGCACACACACACACACACACACACACACACACACACACACACACACACACACACCTCTGCCTCAGTTTCCTCATCTGTAGTCTGGGGCTGCCATCTATAGACGAGGCTTGGAACAGATCTGAGAGACAAGTCAGTGGTGTCTGAAGCCAAACAAGCATCTCCCTGACAGCTGTGCTCACTGCTGCCACCAAGCGAGAGTAGATGGAAGTAAAGACTAGGCCAGGTGTTGAATAGGCAGAGAAGGGGTTGATGCAGACTTGGGATCTGGTCCCCTGATTCACTAGCAAAGGGGCCTTTGGCAAGAGCCTTTCCCTCCTGCCTCCCCGGGCACCTGTAGAACAGGGAGATGAAGGAGGGCACATAGAAGGGTGCTCAGTAATGGCTGTTCCTTTCAGCCAAGATGGCAGAGCTGGCATGGCCAGGGTGGAGCTGAGCATCCACAGCATCTTAAAGTCCCAGAGACGAAGTGGCTGCAGCCCGATGCCGTGCCTGGTGTCCCCACCTGGCTCTCTAGTCCTCCTACCTCCTCAGAGTTCAGAGCTCAGGGCATCGCCCACCCTCGCCCTTCCCCTCCCCCCCCAACCCATCCCAGAGTTCCTGCTTGGGCCCCAGAATGCAAATCAGCCAATTATCTGTAAACTAATTGCAAAATTTATTCCAGGGAGCAGGGGGGCTGGGAGATCCATAAGGGCACTTCATGTTTCGGGGCTGTGGGTCCCTGGCCTTGGCAGGGGCTTGAGTTTCAGGAACAGGAGTGGGGACTGAGTCAGGGCAGCAAAAAAAAGAAAAAGAAAGAAAAGAAAAGAAAAAGGGGAAGGGAAAAAAAAAGCAGGGAGCAGGGATACCCAGCTCATCTAGCTGGGCTGGCCTAGCGCAAGCTGCAATGGTGACAGGAAAGCGACAGTAGGTGTCCAGCGGGGCAGAGAACAGCCAAAGCTTCTCCCCAGAGAGTAACTTTCAAGACACAGGACGGCAGCCAGGGAGCTGAGGCCAGCTTCTAGGGAGGCAGCCGGAGGCCCAATGGGACTGGACCGTGAGAGGAAGGGCTGGTCAACACAAGCCCATAACCCACCCATGAGAACCCAGAGCTCCCCCTGCAGTTCACCTGGGGAGAGGACAGAGGAAAAGCAGTAGCTTTTTTTTTTCTTTCTTTTTTTTTTCTGGAGCAGGAAGCACTCAGAAGAAATGGCCTGGCACCGAAGGGAGCACTTGGAATATGAGATGGAGGGAGGAGGCCTGGGCCTGTATTTGGTGCAATGGCCGTACCCAGCTCAGTCATCCATCAGCCCTCCAGCTCGCCTCATGTACATCCGCCTTTCCAGAAGTGTTTAGGAGATTGAAAAACAAACCTATAGCCTTGCGGCTTAGTACCAGCCCAGCTGGCCAAGAAGGAGGGGGGCTGGAATGTTGACTGTACCAAATTTTTCCTCCCTGTGGGGTGTGGGGGGAGGAGGAGTTGTAGCAATGTCCTTTCCTGGAAACAGATCAGAGGTCTCCATGCAGAGGTCACACGGTGGAGGGGCGGGGAGAGGTCCTTCTGTCTAACTGGTCTCCCAGTTTCCTCTAGGGTCAACAACCCCCTACCAAATTTAGCAAACTCAGCCATCCTTAATTTACTCAACAGACACCTTCCCCCCTCCTCTGTGGGGAAGCACTGCAGAACCCCTCTTCTCTCCCTGTGATGCCCGCTCGCCTTCCTCCTGCTTCTGATCCCAGGAGAGGGGGGAAGGGATGACCTCTGACTCAAGGGACATCCAAGTCCCACCAAGGAATCCAGAATCTCCTCCCAGACCAGGGGGTGGGGTGGTCAGCCGCCACCTCCTTGGGACACTGTGAGTGGTAGGCAAGTGCCAGGGGCTAGAGAGTACTGCCTTGCCCATCCTCACCACCACCCTAACATAGCTCCAGAGCGCAGGGGGCAGGGGCCTAGGGACAGGGCTCTGGGGTCACCTACTGAAATGCGCCTGTGCGGCATGCTGGCGGGTGCCCCTGTCCGCTGCCCAGGGCCGAGCTCAAGTCTGCCTGGCCTGAAGCATCTCGATGAGCAGGTTGTTGCGGGGCATCTCGTTGCCCAGGTGCTTGTGGTACAGGTACTCCTTGGCTTGCACGCTCAGGGCCCGCACCTCCACCAGGCACAGCAGCAGCTGCTGGAATTTGTCCGCGCAGTGCGGGTAGTGGCACAGGGTATAATCGAGCAGGGCAGCATTGGCCTTCTCCTGAGCATCCTTCACCAGGCTGTGGTTGCTTAGGAACTTCACATCTGCAACAGGAGACAGTGGTCACCCGCCGCACGCACATGATCAGCACCAGGGGTGGGTGCGTCGCCAGCACCACCTTCCCAATGATCACCAAAGCCACAGGGTCGCTGCAGCCATTCTCTCCTCCCTCACCCCCACCCCGCGCCTCCCAACCGCCTCCCCCACCAACCCCGCTGGTCCCCAGCCAAACCCCAGCAACCATCCCCACGCTCATTGCTGCTGCCATCACTGCCATGGCTGGCACGGACATGGGCAATCACCAACACCAGCGCCGTCACCAATGCCTCCCTGGGTATGTGATTTCAATCACGGCTTTCCTATCTGTAAAATGGAGTGAAAGCAGTCCCAAGGAGGCAGCCATGCCCACCTGAGAGGCCAGGAAAACTCAGGGGAACACCAGCCCCATTCTGGTTACCATGGTCAAAGCCATTCTGCTACCATCATCCCTGTGGTCCTTGTCATCAACATCACCACCCTGCCAATCACACTGAGTGGAGGGACCCCATCTCACTGCCGTGCCCCCCCAGAGAGCCACACGCACCAACCCTGAACACCCCCCCACACACACACACACCTGCCTCTCTGTCTCTCTCTGACTGGGCTCCCAACATAACAATGCAGTGACAGAACAGAGTGCTTGGGCTGAGGTTTAAAACCAAGAACTGGGCAGGAAGCTCAGGAAGGTCTAGGGGATAAATCCATTTGTGTAAAGTAAAACTGGGGCTGGAGTGTGTGGCTCAGTTATAGAGTGCCAACCTAGCATGAGCTAGGTCCTAGGTTCCATTCCCGGTGCTGCAAAATATAAGGAAGTAAAAGCAGGAGGCTGGTCCAGGAGGCAGCCATTCTATATAGGAGGGGCTGCAGGAAAACCCCCACAGGGTGTGAGGAAGCAATTTCTGAGTGTGTGTGTGTGTGTGTGTGTGTATGTGAGAGAGAGAGAGAGAGAGAGAGAGGAGGGCAGCTCTGTGTGGACCAGTGCTCACGTGGGCCCTGGGTGAGGGGTGTCATCTCTGCCTTCTGTTATAAAGGGCCTTCTTCCTCTGGAAAGGGCCAGCAACCCCCAACCCCCCCATCCCACCCCACCCCCACCCCCGCTGCCTACAACACCCCTCCTGGCGCCCTGTCCCCGGCTCAGGGTCAGCAGCAGGAATCTTGGAATCAGCTTGCAATCCCCAAAGCCTAGCCAGGTGTCCTGAAGCTGTCGTTTCCAGCGGCTCAGAAGATGGTCATCTTGTCCATGCCCTTCCCCACCCGCCCACTGGCCCCAGCCCTGCGGCTGCGGGGGAGTGGGACGCGGACCGCAGCCCTTGGCCCTGTAATCCCTTTAACACGGCCCGCGCCAGGAAGCTCGGCTCTCCTGGCAACCCTGATCCCTGGCCGCCTCCGTGCGCCCGCTGAGCTGTGTGTTGTCTATAGGTGGATTTAGGGAAACCCGAGCCCGGCCCAGAGCGTATGGTGGGGTCTGGTAGCGGCTGTCCTCCACCCCCGGGGCCCCTCAAGCTCCAAGTCCATGAGTCAGGATCATTTTTCTTCTGCACCTTTTGTATCTTCGCCATCAGGCACCTTTGTGCCATTAGAAAAAAGTTCCTCTCGTCTGGAGATGCGGTTCAATTCCAGGCCATCTTTCCCTACCTTGGAGCCCTGGTGCAGTGTGATGAACAATCTCCACAGCACAGAGCGGCCTTGCTCTCAGCCTGCTCCAGACCCACTCAAAGGCTGTGGGAAGTCACCCCGACAAGCTGGCTCCCCAGAAGCAACCGACATCTACCAGTCTCACTCATCTCTGTCCCAATCTGTCCCCATATCCCAATCCTGCCCACCTGCCTTCACCCTACTACCATCCCCAGAGCTAGGGAAGCGTGACAATTCACCACAGGAGGCAGGGCGTCCAGAGGAGGAGAGAGACCAGCTCATGGCCACCCAGCAGCAAAGGGGCGTAGAGGAAAGGGCAGTGGCTCGGATGCTACACAGTGGGAAGGCTGGGGAGCACTGGGGTGTGGGCTGTACCAGGATTCACTGTGCTCCTGTCCTCAGCCCTGGCCCAGCTTGCAGGAACAGGAGCAGAGGAAGGACAGTGCTGAGGAACAAGTCCTCCGCCCCCAGCTCGAGGAGGCTGATGCTCCAGACTCAGAGCCTGGGTTGGAACCCAGGTGTGCGGCCTTCCATGGTGGGAGAGCAGGCTAAGGAACCAGGCTGGGTCGCACCCCATTCCCAACGGGGTCTGGGAGACAGACATTCTTCTTATTCTGTCCCCGCCTAGGAAGGCAACCAAAAGCCCCCCAGATCCTGTTTCCCCTAGAGAGGCCACTCTGCGCTTCACAGCGGACACCCTGGGATCTTACATGGGCCACAGGTCCCCCATGCCCCCCAGTTTCTAGAGAGCGTGTAACGATTTGAAGGGAGCTGACAGGAAAGCGGGGGGGGGTCAAGCAAGCCTGGAGACACCCCCTTTTCATGGATCAGTGCTTCCCAGCCCAGCTCCCCAGCCAGCTGGCTGAGCCTAGGCCAAGGTGCATCCCTCTCTGAGCCTCAGTTTGCTATCATCTGCAAAATGGGGTTTGTGCCACCAGGACTGGGACCTGAGCTGTGCCCTGGGCATGGCACGGTGGAGGGGGACGGAGGGGACTGCGGTGATCCTGAGCCCGGGAGGTGGGAGTGTGGGAGATGGTGCCCCACCCCGGGGAGCAGCCGCTAGCTCTGCCGAGGCAGGGGCCCCCAGGATCTCAGAAAAGCCCCCTTTTCACGGTTTAATTGAATATTTGAATAATCTTTTCATTCCAGTGAGGCATAAAGAATGTTGTCCCAATAGCGGTGACTCAGGCAGGCGCCCCTGTGCACAATGGCCCCTCGAGTGGCGCTGCTATTCAGGCCGCCTTTTGTTGCCGCAGAGCACTGGGTAAATTGCAAACGCTTAAGGGAATGCTGCTGCCGCGCCTCAATGCGAATCAGGAAATCGAATGTTAGGTCAATCCATTAAGCTTCGATTAAGTCCTCAGTGGAACAATGCCTGCCGGGCCCATCTTCATAAACACCGCGATTGCCAGGAGAGAGGCACTAATTTTAATTAAACCTCCTTACCTGCCTCCAGCAGCCTGAGACGCTATTTAGACGCCAAATGGCACCTTCTGTGGAGGCAGGCAAGAGGAGGCACGGAGAGGAGGAGTGGGTGGGGTGGCCGAGGTGGGTGGGGGAACAGTCATCGCCCAAGTTCAGGCTGTCCAACTCTCGGGAGGTGCTACCCGGGCTGATCCCCCAGTGTGTGGCCTGAGAGTCTGCAGGCAAGTGGCCATCCCTCCCCCAGTTCCTCATGAGTTGGGATGGGGTGGGGGGGCGACTGTGGAAGGAGCTAACGAACCCTTTATTCTGCACTCAGGTGACACTATCTCCCCAGCCCCAGATCTCACCTTGAAAGAGACCTGGGCATAGTAAAACGCAAATGGAGTCATGTTACTTGCAGCACCAAATCCTTCCCAAGGGAAGGTCGGGGTGTGCTCAGCTGGGCTCCGCAGCTCAGCCTCTCTGCACCCCTCCCTGCCCCCTACAGTTACCTGGACTTTCAAGATTCCCCCTTCTCTCGCTTGACCTTTCCTCAGTCTGGGATGCTTTCTACACTGCTTCCTTTGTTCCCAGAAAACTGCTCAGAATGCAAGACCCAACCACATCAGAGAGGCCTGCCTCGATCTCCCTGGGTGGTTGGCTGCACTAGACCACTCAGGACCCTTCTCCACCTGAATCACCCCAAACCCTCAATGGAAAGAAGCCTTGCACCCTCTCTTCTTCTTCCTCCTCTTCCAAAGCCCCAACCTCACCAGATGTTTGGCCTGCTAGGCTGGGGCTCTCTAACTCACCCACCCACTATCCAAGCTCAATGAGGGCACCAAGTTCATTCATTCATTAGCTTGTTCATTTGTCCATGAGGCCAAGGGTGATTATGGCACAAGTCAGGCAAGTCAGAGGTCAGGCAATGCGAATTCTCTCATGACATCATTGTAACAAGATAAGCTGATGGTGGACATTTTACACCTGGGGAAATAGAGGCTCAGAGAGGAAAGGGCCTGACTCAAGCACACAAAGCCCGCAGAGACCAGAGCTAGAATCCTGGTGGGTCCATCCCTTCCTTTGGGGACTCCACCAGCCTTGGACACCACCCACATGTGTGCACCTACACATGCCTATGCGTGCTTCATACATGCACGGGTGTTTGCATGCACAGCCTCTCCCAGCCAAGCCCCAGCTCTCCCCACCCTTCGCCGCATTGTCTGGAGAGTGGGATGAAAATGTGCAGGGGGAAAGCACACAGCCCGGCCAGAAGAAGAGAAGTGGCTCTTCTTGGTGCCTCCCTACACCCCATGGAAGGAAGAGCCCTTCGGAGGGGCACTCAAGCACAGGGGGGCCTGGAGGACCCTCCCTTCCCAGGACTCTCCCCTAAGCTCTACAGCAGTTCCTAAGTGGCTACCCAAGACTCTCCCCTCCACCACCCCTGCAGAGACCAGCTCATAGTCCTAGCACTGGGATTCCCACATCCACTAACCAGCTCCCTCCTCCTCTCTGCTCCCCAACATGTCCCACACACCCCACTCTCTTAGAGGCAACTTCCCACACTGTGGCTATAGTGCCAACTGCCACAAACACAGCATTTCCATCCTGCGGGTTCTAACTTGCCATCTCATTGCTACAAGATTCTCTGCTACAAGATTCACCCACCCAGAGAACCCCTACTCATCCTCTAAGACCTCCCTGGCATGTCCCTCCTCCACGAAGCCTTTCCACGTGCCCCAGATTCCCTGATCGCTCTCCAACTCTGTCCCTAACCACCCGGACCAGCTGTTCTAGGAGGACAGGGCCATGGGGAGGGCGACTCCAGACCCAGCAGGGAGGTGACAGTGGGCTGGTTCTCTTCCTTCACACCTGTCACACCTACCTGTCTCATCTAGGCAGTCACCTCAGCCCTGGGGTGGGGAACCCCTGTGCCAGGCAGAATGACTGTCTGAAAAAGGCATGAGTGAATGGACAAAGGGGTGAGTAAGGACATATCTAGACTGTTCATCCAGGAGTTCCCTAGGTTCTCTGTTGGGTCCACACCCATGAAGGTCAAGTCTTGGACATCACTTTGGTAGTTTACACAGAGTAACATGCCTGCTAGGGCTGTGGCCTCATTTTCAGAGTCCATTCCTCAGCCTGCAGACCCCACCTGAGCCACAGCCAGACTCTCCACGCATGCCCTGCCCAATCCCTGGGCTCACTCACCAAGGCTGAAGAGGATGAGGAACTTGAGGCAGACAAACTCCTGGCGGTCCAGCTGCAGTGCGTGCAGCTGCAGGACCAGCTCCTGTGCCCGCAGGACCAGGTTGTGCAGCAGGGAGCCGGCCTGGGCAGCCACCGTGCTCAGCTCCACCTGCACAGCAGAGCAGGGCAGAGAGGCCAGTGAGAAAACCAGCCAAGCTCCTGTGCAGGAGGCTCTGATCAGGATCTGGGGGGGAGGGGTTCCGGTGAGCCCAGCTTTTCCCCTGAGCTGGGCGCAGGCAGCCCTCTGCTCAGAACCCCAGAACCTCCCAGGCTCCTGTGCCAGCTGGAGCTGGACACCCCAGTTTTCCTGGATGGCAGTGGGAGGGCCACCAGGCAGGGGCTACGGCGGGGGACTGAAGGGTCCTTCACACACAAAGAGCCGCCGCCAGGCCCAGCAGCACAAATGAGTGAATGTCTCTCGTGCAGCCACAGTAGGGAGTGTCCATCGAGGATGGTGGCAGGGGACAGCGGGGCCACATGCCCGCCCACCACATCCACGCAGACACCTGCCCGGGGTGTGAAGGCACACACATGTGCACACCCACACGTGGCCTTCCATGGTCACTCACAGTGGCACATGCACGCCTACACGTGTGCCCATGGTGACAAGCAGGTGCAGACGCCCACGCGCCCCGGTGTGAGTGGAGATCTGCACGGTGAGACGTCACAGGCCCGCCTCTGCACGCTGGACGGCCCCCGGGGCCACAGAGACTTGGTCCCACAGGACAGTCAGGTCACCAACTCCCTATTTGCACCCGCCTGGGTCCCAAAGTCACTCCTTAGGGACCTTCATCCCCACACTCTGCTCCCAATGACCTGACACCCCAGGGGGAGAACCAGGCCTGCGGAACCTCAGCCTCTGCCCTAGCCAGGTGCCACCAGGCAGGAGAGATCCCGGTCCCCTGTCTGCACCTGCACCTCCTCCTCTCACCAGGTAGCTCCCCTGCCTCCAGGCCCACCCCCCTGGCCCGTGCACCTGCCTCCTCCAGCCGCTCCCATTCCATTTCCAGCATTCCCACTCCTTCCCCATCCCTAGGCCTGTTATTCCATAGGCTCTGTTCTATGCGGGTTCACGTTGTGGCTCTGAGGCCATTCATTCAAGGCCTGGCTTACTCACCAGTTCCTCATTTCTTCCCTCCTCCGCTCCCCCCACCCTTGGGCCCCCTCAGAGCCCTGGTTCCTGCCATGCCCCACCTGTGTCCCTGGCCTGTTACCAGCTGATCAACTTGGACTTTTTTTTCCAGATGGACCAGTGCCATTGCCACCTCCTGCAGAGTTGCCCTGCCCACCCCACTCTGGAGCTGCTCCACTGCCCCCCACCCCAGCCCTGGCTCCTCCCACCCCACCCCGCCCCCAGCCCAGTCCCTGAGCTGAAGGAAGGGCCGGAAGTGAGGGCCAGGAGAGGGGGCGCTCACCTCCTGCCCGGTGACCAGCAAGATGCTGCCCTCCTTGCCATACTGGATCTGACGGTAGATATGGTCAAACACCAGCAGCTCGCTCCAACAGTTCTGGAGCAGGGACATCTGGTCAGCCACCTGCGGGAAGAGCCATGTGAGGGTACAGCTGGGGGCCCCTCACCCCTCAATTCCCAGACTCATCTGGATGTGAGCTGGGCAAGGGTCCCTATCTCATGAGAGGGTCCAACAGAGCCTCTGCCCTGCCTCTCACCCGTGTGCGGCCTGCTGCAGTTCCAGAGCCATCCTGTGCACCTGCTGGCTCTCATAGGAGGGGGACCAGGGCTTGGGAGGGGGTCTGGCACATGTTAAACCCAGAAAATACGTATTTCAAAAAATAGAAATAAAAAGCCAGGCACCCAGAGCTCACGCCTGTAATCCTAGCTACTTAGGAAGTGGAGATCTGAAGATCACAATTTGAAGCCAGCCTGGACAGGAAAGCCCATGAAACTCTTATCACCAATTAATCAGCAAAAAGCCAGAGGTAGAGCTATAGTTCAAGTGGTAGAGTATCAGTCCTGAGTAAAAAAAAGCCAAGGGAAGGTACAAGGTCCTGAATTCAAGCCACAGTATCTGCTTGCACATACACACATGAGAGGGGGGGGGGGGAGAGAGAGAGAGAGAGAGAATATGTATGTGTACAGGAGTACCCACAATGCTTGCCAGCCATTTCAACCCTGGACGCCACTGGCCTGTGGCCTCAGCCAAACCAATTAGTAGCAAGGAGCTACGAGAGCAAGGAATAAAGAGCAACAGGGAATTCTACTGGGCCTTCTGCAGAACTTTGGGATCCATGAGGAGAAAGCGGGCGCTACATGGCCTGGATATACAAGACGGTGAGCAGGACAGCATGGCCTCCTGTCTGAAGGAGAACAGAACAGTCACGCAGGCGCATTCTGCCTCAGGCTGCCGTGTGTACCTGGCGTTAAGACCAGAGGTCCCTGCTTGTGGTCCTTCCAGTGTGGGTGCGGGAGGATGTCGTTGTGGGGTTTTTATGTGTGGGTTTTTGGGTTTTTTGTTGTTGTTGTCGTGGGGCTTGAACTCAGGACCTGGGAGCTATCGAGCTTTTTCACTCAAGGCTAGCACTTTACCACTTTGAGCCACAGCACCACGTCTGTTTTTCTGGTGTTTAATGAGAGATAAGAGTCTCGTGGACGTTCCTGCCTAGCTTGGCTTTGAACTGTGATCCTCAGCTCTTAGCCTCCTGAGTAACTAGAATTACAGGCGTGAGCCACCAGCCCTCAAATTTGTAATCCTCTCCATTGTGTTTTCTTATGGCAAGGATGATACATTTTGGCACCCAAGCCATGGCAAGCTGACCCAAAGCGATCTTCAGGGGAAGAATCTACCACCCGCACAGGACAGACTCTTTGGGGGTCCCCTAGAGGTAGACCAAGCCAGGGTTATGGTGGGCACTGCTGGTCCACAGTCCCTATGAGTACAAACTTAGCCTTGCTGTGCATTCAGAACAACCCTAGACCCCTCTCTGAGCCCTCCTAGGATTCCACAGTGCAGAAAGAACCCAGCCCTCTCCTCCTGTGATGAGCAGGAACTAGGATTGTCACCATGGTGCCCTGTGAGGCCGGGTCAGCCAGACCACTTTATGGAGAAAAGAAACCTTCCCAAGGTCACGCGGCTCTGCCTGGGTCTCGATGTGTGCTCCTTATCACTAGGCACAAAAAAAGCCCCGTCCCCTGCCCCCAGGAATGGAGGCTTCTCCATGAGCCCTCAGTCTTTCCCACAAAGCCTCCTCTCGCCCTAGGTGCCCTCCTCCCCCTCTAGGTGGTTTTCTTCCCTGCTGCTGGGGGGTTTCAAAAGCAGGGCTGGTGTCTGGGTATCTTTGTCCCTCTCGGCCAGCAGACCTCTGCCCTTTCCCCAGACCCCATGGCAGTACTGCCCTGGGGCTAGGAAACAGCACTCTCTTCGAGGGGCTGGAAGGCCCCTCATTCCCCTCTGGGGCCTTCTCGGGAAGAAGGGGCAAGGAGGACCAAGAGGAGAGCCTGCCTTGATCTCTGCACAGCTCCTCCAGGCCCCACGATCACCCCTGCCCAGCCCAGACAGCAGGTGAGCAACATGGAAGGTCGACACCCCTCCTGCTCTGTGCTACTGCCTCTGTCTCCTCCATGTTCCCTCATCTTATCTCTGGGTTAGAAATTCTCCCCTTCCCTGGCCCTGGAGCCCACTGTTAGAACTAAGACCCAGCCCCAGACCTCACCAAGCCCCAACCCCAGTCCTGGGTAGGGGCCGCCTTTCCCATCATGCTTTTCAAGGAGCCAGGACATCCAGCCCTGCCCAAGTGACTTGTGCCTGCAGTACAGACCAGCCTACAGGCTTGCCTAGGGGACACCAGACAGGGAACTCTGCCCAGATGCCCTTACTGAGCTCATCTAGGGGGTCCTGGGTGGGAGGCACCCATGCAGGATCATAGTAGAGGCAAGGAAAACTCAGACCCACTGCGGCTGCCTCAGGCAGAGACTGTGTGGGCCGGGCTCAGGCCTCCCACCCCCTGCAGGAGTTGCAGATACCCTTGTGCCCAGATCGAAAGGACGGGTGGGGGTGGGGGGAAGAGCGATAAGAAGCGAGTGAGGAGATAAGCGGACTGAGCCTGGGACAGCAGGCAGAGGGGTCATGGTGACCCTGCCTGGCCCAGCCTGGGAGCCGACTGTACCCAGACCACAGTCCTGGGGCAGCGCAGCCCTGGCCCATGGCTAGTGAAGGAAGCAACTGGCGCCTATGCCTTGGTATCCAGGCCTAGGTTCAAGTGCCCACCTAGCCACAAGCACCTCTCAGTCCTGACTTGCTGTTCTGTGCAATGGAAGAAGACACAGAACATAGCTCATCAGCTACCACAGGCTCTGCGGAGCTGGCCAGGGTTCTACTCCCTCCCCGGCCCCACCCCACACAGGCTACACAAGCTTTCCTGTCAGACCCTCACATCTTCCTGGGGATAGACAGACATATTGACTCTCCGCATCCTCCATCCCCTTATTAAAACAAAACAAAACAAAAAAAACACCCGGCGCACTGTGGCTCACGCCTATAATCCTACCTACTCAGGAGGCTGAGATCTGAGGATCATGGTTCAAAGCCAGCCGGGGCAGGAAAGGCCGTGAGATTCTTCTCTCCAATAAACCACCAGAAAACCAGAAGTGGTGTTGTGGCTCAAGTGGTAGAAAACTAGCCCTCAGGCCCACAGTTCAAGCCCCACAACTGACCAAAATAATAATAATAATAAAAACTCAGAAAAGGATATTCTTAGAAGAACACAAAGGCACAATACCCATGTACATCTGATCATGCAAAAGTAATAGTTAGCAAAATGAACTCCAAGAGATGGAAGCAAGAGGGTTTTCTTTTTCCTTCGCTGTTCTTTTCTTTTGGTTTCATTTGTTCATTTATATGTCTTTGGGAGGCTAAGAGTGGCACAGAAATGGAGGGACAAAGGGTGAACAAATGCAGCAGTGGTATTCACTAGACACTGTGTTGAAAATGAGCTGTACAACTTGTGGGTGGGGACAGGAGGGAAAAATGGGGAGAGCGTGAGGGAAGGGGTGTACTCTTTGCCTGACTTAGAAAACTGCAACCCCCTCGTACATCACCTTTCTACTAACAATTAAAACCTGTACACAAAACAAACAACTCAGAGGGTGGGGGCTTCCAGCCCTCTACATCAGAAAGGAGGTTGGTAAGGGCCTCCTTTAAGCCAACCTACAGCTTCCTCCCCCACCCCCACACCCTCCATCTCAGGCCTCCCTGCTGCCCTGAGAACAAGGACATTTACAGTCCTGGCCCCAGGGACCCTCCCCAGGCTGGCCTGTCTGCTGGGCCTGCCACAAATCTTCCCGGAGCCTTGACACACTGTGCAGCCTGCCTTAGAGAAGGGGTATTTATGGATGCTGTGCTGACCTCTCCCCCAGCAAGCTCCTCTGGAGCCCCTGGGGTCTGAGGGTCTGGCAGCTGAAGGCCAGTGGCTCAGTAACTCTGGTGGCTGGCGTGTCTTGGGCTGGCCACAGCCCTTGCCACGCCGAGTGGAATGGTGAGGAGCCATCGTTTGTCAGCGTAGGGCTGACGGTTCCTGCGGCCTCCACAAAATCCTCTATCTGGGCAATTAGATCTGCAGCCAGTGGGGCCTTGGAGCGGATGTCCAGGGTGAACGGATGTGAGACCAGTGTTTAGGGGGCCCTTATTCCCCCTCCCTGCCAGGGGCTGAGCTCCTGGGAAGGACACTGCCCCCACTGAGCAGCAGAGAAAGATAAGCCTCTGCTACCCTGAAGGTAACACGTTGTTTCACCAGCCCAGGACAAAGTAGGGGCATCTTTCTGGTAACAGAGGTGCACAGACACAATGTATCTCCCTCTGTTCCCTTCCTGGCCAGGCCTCCGCTGCCTGCCAGTGGAGATCCAGTGTTACACTGCAGCCAGGAGCAGGCAGGAAGGGAGGGGCTGAGCCCACTGATGAAACTTCCTGTGTGCCAGGCCCTGTCAGGAATTCTTCCCCATCCCCACTCTCCAAACCCTCACCATTCCTCCCACCTTCCAGGTGAGGAAAGGGCGCAGAGGAGCCTAGTCACTTGGCCAAAGTGGCTGAGCTAGTAAGGGGCAGAGGTGGAACTTGGTAACAGGACTCAGGCCCAACTTGCTATGATAGTGGGAAGTGGGAAAATGGAGACAGAGGAAGAGGAAAGCCCACAGAGTACTGAGGATTGCGTGTCCCTGACAGTTCCGTTGAGTCCCACCATGACTGCACCTTCCTTCTCCTGTGGGGAAGATGCCACGGGCTCCTTAGTGGAGGGCTCAGGCTCTGGGCTGAGATCTTTTCTTGGTCTGGATGAGGGGCTTAGCCTGCTCTTCAGAGTATCTGCCACCCACTGCCCCCAGCATCCATTTTCTGCTCTGATCCACCAACCTTTCTAGCCCTGCTTCATAGAACCCCCTGGAATTCCCAGAGGCCTTGGCACATTTCTGAGCTTTTGCCTCTGCTGTTCCTACTGCTTGCACGCCCTGGTCTCCTCTGATTTCTTCTGGAAATCTTCTCTGACTTCCGTAGCTTTGTGCTCTCCCATCGGGCTCCCTCTGGCCCCATCCATTGCCCACACAGCCCAGGGCACCGTGGCTATGTCTAGATGTGCTTGTCTTCTAAAGCCTGGCAGCTTCTTGGGTTCACCTCATGTCAATGTCCCCAGTGTCCAGCTAGGGCTCTGCTCTTCTCTCAGAGCTGGAACTCTCCTTTGTCTGCTTGGAGGAGAGCAGTTGGATGGCGAGCCAAAGGGAGAACAGAATCACTTGGCATCTCTCATTTTTCTGGACCCTCACACCTGTCTCTGCCGACACCAGCCCAGGGCCCATTGGGCCAGTGAAAGGCCCTGTGAGGCCTGGGCCGGTGCTTATCTGCAAGGGTCCCTTATGGTCATGGAGCAGTGACCGTGGCTCATATTCCTGGGCTCCATGCAGGACTTCTGGGAAGGGGAAGCAGGAAGGTATTGACCACAGAGAAGCCAGAAGCAGGAAAAAACACTCAGTAAACTGGACAAAAGCCCTTCCCATCCTGCGTGAAGCCCCGGGAGACTAGGAAGGCAGCCAGAGGAAGTGCCCTGCCCTTGGACCCAGGGTTCAGAGAGGCTGAGAATGCTCAGCCCCGCCCCTCTACACAGGGGCTTCATGGGAAGTGTCCAAGGAAGCTGGAAGCCCACCCAAAAGTCTTGGGATCCTCATTCCCTTTGATATTCCCCCCACCAGCATCAGTGCAGGGCAGGGGGCAAGGGGTCTGGGGTGCGAAGCCCCCCCTGTGAGAGAGACATGGCATGTCCCCAGTTCTCAGCCATGGCAGGCCTCCACAGTAGAACCACACCCTCCATCAGTGCTGACTCTCGAGAGTTTCCCTGGCCTGACCCCAGGCCCCCTGTGCCTCAGTGTTCCTTACCCCAGGTATCTCTCTATGCTAGCCAGAGACAGTGTCCCCAGCCCATCTGGCCACAGGCCCAGAGGAAGCTCAGGTCTGAGTGGCATCAGCAGACAATGCTGTTCAAGGCTACAGGCGGCCCCGGCAGCCAGGGGGTTGAACTGGGAAAAAGAGAAACCAATAGGCTGGAACTGAACACACGCCAGGCAATGATGGCCTTGGCCAGGATTGGGGCCTCAAGAGTGGCTTCCTAAGCAACCAGAGCACCGCAGGGGGAGCTCCCAGGCCTCCAACACCTCACAGCACGAGGTGACAAGACCGGGAATTTGTTATTTATTTACTTTTTTTTTGGTCAGTCATGGAGCTTAAACTCAGGCCTGGGCGCTGTCCCTGAGCTTTTTTGTTCAAAGCTAGTGCTCTACCACTTTGAGCCACCTTGCCACTCCGGGTCTTCTGGTGGTTAATTAGAGATAAGAGTCTTACAGACTTTCCTGCTCGGGCTGGCTTCAAGCTGCAATCCTCAGATCTTAGCCTCCTGAATAGCTAGGATTACAGGCCTGAGCCACGGGCGCCTGGCGACTGGGAAGTTCTTTCCTACATCTGCCCTCGATTTCTCCTGCTGCTTTCTTGCCACAGGTGCCATAACTCTGGGTCTGGAGATAGAGCAAGGCTGCCTTATCTAGCCAGATCAGTAGCTGGCTCTAGAATCTCCAACCCGACTCCTCCTCCAGCACAGGTGCAATCCCAGGTGCCCAGGGTCTCGGGGCGGGGGAGGGGAGATTCCTACAAGAACCCTGACCAAGAGCAAACCAGAGACTGGTGTCGCCCTAGAGACACGCAGGCCTGGAGACAGTGGCGGGAAGGAGCCAGCGCGAAGAAACAGAGGCAGAAATCAAAGCAGCAGAGGCTGTAGGAGCCAGGGAATAAATAGAGAGGGAGAAGGAACCCCAGTAAGCAGGGGTAGCAGTACCCAGGACAGCCCGACTATAGGGGGACAGAGGTCAGGGCATGGGCAGCTGAGCAAGAGGGTAGACACACCAGAGCCAGAGGCTGGTGGGCCAGGAGGAGGGACTCACCTCCAGCTCCTTGAACACCATGCATCTGCGGGCCCAGTCCACGATGGAGATGAAGGTCTGGTCCGCCATCCTGCACAGGAGGCCGAAGGCCGCGGGCTGATCGGAACGGTTTTTGGCAGGTTCCTGCAGGCAGCCCAGGATGCGTGCCCGCACCTGGTCTTCCTCGGGCTCCAGCTGCAGGAGCTGCAGGATGAGCTCCGGCACAGTGGGCCCCCCAGAGAAGGACTCAGAATAGCCGTAGGGCGGTCCAGGCTGCTGTTGGGGGCTGGCGTAGGGCTCTGGGTACTCGGACTTGATAGTGCGGCCAGAGAAGTTAGGGTAGAGGTAGCCTGCCAAGGACCCGTGGGTGCTTGGTACAGCCATGGGCAGCGCCTGGGCTCCAAAATCACCCAGTGGCCCGCTGGCTGGACCAGAGGCCAGGCCCTTGGGCTCAGGTGCATGCAGGTTGGGAGGCAGCATGTAGTCCGGAGCGGGGGGAGGGGGCGGTGGCACGCCCATGGGGGGACCCGTCTCCAACTTGAAGCCATTGGCACGAATCTGTGCCTTCTTCTGCTGCTTCAGAGCCCGATCTCGTTTGTACATGGGCCCAAACTTGTTCCGGCCACCACGCATGCGGTCAGCACGCACAGCTGTGGGGAAGAGGACGGGGCAGGAGTGGGGGGTCATCAGGCATCACCGCTGCCTTCCTAAGCACCCTGCTCCTAAAAGCTGTGTCGCCACCCCCTCTGCTACTTGCTTTGCTCCCTCTCCTACCCCCCTCCCCCCTCCCCATCCCCCCCCCCCCCCCCCCCGCAGATGGGAGTCAGGTTCTTCAGCAGTTTCAGCTGCTAAAGGTCCTGCTCAGACTTCCAAACCCCTGGGGGCCCTTCCACCCTGCGTTTTCTCTGCTTGACACTTCTTCCGTGCCTACCCTACCTTTGCTATTCCCTCTTCCTCAACCCCATCTTTCTCTGAGCTTGCTGAACACACAGCCTCAATGTCACCTCCTCCAGGATGTACTCCTGGATCTACCCAGCAGAATCTCCTCAATATCCTGTCTACTCACTGCCCATTCTTACCATGCTGAGTGCATCATGCATATGCCCCCCCCCACCCCCAGGCTGAGAGCGCTGGGTTCAGGGCTTGATGAGAAGATGGTAACATGAAAGGGAACTTGCTCAGCTTTGCTCATGGCTGGATGCCCAGTATCCAACTTAGGGACAAACTCCCTGACTCTACTGAACCTCCATTACAAGATAATTGGGGCTCCCTCCCTCTGGCTTCCAGTGTGGAACTGAGTTTGGGGTTGGCTGAGGCTCGGGCTGGGGGAGGGGGCCTCTCTTGCTGACCTCTGCCTGCCAAGAATGTATCACCAGCCAGACCCAACAGGTACATCTCCGGGATGTGGGCTCTGGGGACAGCACCGTGTCCCCTGCCCACTGGGCAGTCGCTCCTCTAGGGGGTCTGCAGCTCTCAGAGCTTCTGGGGGGTTCCTAGGTTGTTCAGAAACTTTATGAACAGCTGCCTGCCGGGCGCACAGCCCAGATGGGCGGAGGGTGAAGGCATCCTCGCATAGCTGAGGTCTCTGGCTGAACTAACTCCCTCCTGTCTGGATGAAGAGGCAGGTCAGGGGTGGGCCTGGGTCCCCCGGGGTCATTGTTCCTCACCCTTCAGCAACCTCAGAGCCAAGCTAAGAAACGGACTGGAGGTCTGGGAGCAAGTGGCAGAGCACAAACACAAGCCTGGAGTTTAGTCCTTCACGTTGAGACAAGGAAGAGAATCTCGCGGGCTGAATAAGCTCAAGGATGGATGGACAGACACACGGGTGGCTGGACAGTGAGAACGCACAAAAGCAGAACGTATGGAACTAACAACAGACAATCTGCTGAGTATTTGGGAAAACCAGGCTCCTCAGGCTTTCCCTTCACCCTCACCATAGCTCTCCAGGAACAGGAGAAAGAACTACTTATTGCGAGCTCATTTTGTTTCCAGATGGGGATCTGTAGCGCAGAGAGGTTAAGGAATTTGCCCAATGTCCCCCAGCCTGCAAGAGGTGGCACTGGGACTTGAAGTCAAGGCGTTGAAGGCCTTGGCTGTGGCTGGTGTGGGGAATCTGTGGGGGTGGGGAACTCCTCATGGGGAGGGGTTGCTTTGCTCTCTCGGGGGAGGCACCACTCCAGGGCTCACTTTCAGATGCTTCTCACCCCAGCCTCAGCGGGGGGCCCTGGCAAACATCCCCCCCCCCTCCTCCAGGCTCCAATGAATGCCAGGGGGGGGCAATAGCCAGGCGCCTAAGAAACTTCCAGAAGGCTGATGTTGCTTCCCCCACCCCACCCTCTCCGCAGCCCCTCTTCCCAGTCCCATCGAGGTCTCCCGGGCCGCGGGGAGCCGCGGGGAGCCGTGGGGAAGCCGGGGTGGAGGCCCGCGGGCCGCGCACCTTCCAGGCGCATCCCCACCGTCAGGCACTTCTGGAAGCGGCAGAAGGGACAGCGCTTGCGCTGCGTCTTGTCGATCTTGCAGCTCTGGCTCTCGGTGCACGTGTAGTGCTTGTTGTTCTGCACCGTGCGCTTGAAGAAGCCCTGCGGGGACAGAGGCGCCGCGGCGAGTGAGCGCGGAGGTGCGCACCGCGCCGCGCCCGCCACGGCCGGCCCCGCACCGAGCCCCCGGCCCGGCCCCGACCCGCTCACCTTGCAGCTCTCGCACGTGAGCAGCCCGTAGTGGTAGCCCGACACCTTGTCCCCACACACCGGGCACAGCTCGTCCAGGTCCTCGTCGTACGAATAGTCCATGCCCGCGGCGTCCGCCTGCGGAGGAGGAGCGGGCGGGTCACCGCGGGCCCACGGCGATCCGGCGGGGACCCGTCCTCCCCCCCTACGCCCCGCACTTCGCCGTCCACGCCCCGCGAGAGTTCCAAACACGCGGTGCGCGGTCTGTGTCCGGGTCGGCCCCGCTCCTCCCCGCTCCAGAGCCGCAGCCTGGGCCGCCCGGGCCCCCCGAGTGGGGAGGGGGCTGCCCGCCGCCCGCCCGGCGGGGCCTCCCGCGCCGCGCCCGCCGCGCCCGATCCGGGACCCCGGGATTCGATGCGCTTCGATCCCGATTCGTTTGTCTGAGAACAACGACAACAAATAAAAAACCCAACAACAACAAACCCCGATCCTGAGAAAACGGGATGGGCTTGGGCGCGGGGGAGAGAGATGCCGGTGATCCCCAGGCGGAGTGGGACGCGGGTTCGAGCGTTCTGGGGACCACAGGGGCGAGGGGGGCAGAGACGGTGAACCCCGCAAGGGAAGGAGCGAGAGACTCCGACGGACGCGGCTCCACGGAGAAAAATCCCGGGACAGGGACGCTCAGAGGCAGAGCCAGAGAAACCTGGGGAGACGAGATTCAAAGATGATGCCTGGACGAACGGACGGATAGATGGACGGACATATGGACGGATGGATGGATGGGTAAATGGACAGATGGACGGACGGATGGATGGACGGACGGAGGGACGGATGGGTGGGTGGGTGGGTGGATGGGTGGGTAGATGGATAGATAGATAGGCAAACTGGAGGGTGGAAATACGTGTGGATAGATGGTAGATGGACAAATAACTGGTGAGGGTGGAAAGACGATGGGTGGATAAATAGATGCTATACATGGATAATGGTAGATGGATAGACTCATGATAGATGGATAGAGAACTGATACACAGACAGATGGACGCACGGACAGACAGGAAATTGATAGGTAACGAAAGAGACGGAACCGGAGCCGAGAGAGATGGAGGAGACCCAGGAGAGGCGGATGAGGACTCAGAGACACCAAGGGAGACCGAGGCAGGGAGCACGACAGAGACGCTGAGAGAAAACCTGGGGAGGCGGAGGCGCCCCGCCCGAGGGTCGCGGGCCGGAGGCGTGGGCGGCGGCCGAGCTCCGAGGCGGGGGCCCCGCAGAGTCGGTGCCCAGCGGCCCGGGGGCCCCAAGCCGCGAGCGGCGGAAAACGACGGCGCGGGGACGCGGAGCCCGAGGACCCGGGGAGACAAAGCCCGCGCAGCGACGGCCCCGGGGGGCGCGGCCGAGACCGAGACGTCGGGCGGAGAGCCGTGCAGTGGCGCGCGGGGGGACGGCGGGCGCGGGCCGGGCGGAGAGCGCGCGGCTCCCGGAGGCTGGACCCCGGGCGGGGGCGACCTCGGGCGGAGAGTCCGAGTCCCAGGGAGGGAGGCGCTCGGCCCGTCCAGCGTCCACCTGGCCGATCCTGCGAGCAGAGCCCTGCGTCCCGCCCGCCCGCGCGGAGCCCCGCGCCGCCCGCCGGCGAGGAGCCGCACCCGGGCGCAGCGCCGCCCGCCCGCAATGACGGCCGCTCGGGCCGGGGGCGGGGAGGCGCGGGGCTGGCGGCGGGGGTCTCGGCGCACCCCGCCTCCCCGCCGCCTTCACGGCGGCTCGAGGCGCACCTGGGACCCGGGGCCCCTCCGCAGCCCTGCGCGCCGCGCCAACCTGTGCGGGGCCCGGGCGGGCCGCGCTAAGAGCGCGCGTGCGGTGTCTGGGGGCGGAGGCGCGGCCTGCGGCCCCCCCCGGCCCGCGCCTCCCCCCAGCCCGGCCCGCGCCCCCCAAGCCCGCGCCTCCCCACAGCCCGGCCCGCGCCCCCCCAGCCCGCGCCCTCCCCACAGCCCGGCCCGCGCCCCCCAGCCCGCGCCCTCCCCACAGCCCGCGCCCTCCCCACAGCCCGGCCCGCGCCCCCCAGCCCGCGCCCTCCCCACAGCCCGGCCCGCGCCCCCCAGCCCGCGCCCTCCCCACAGCCCGGCCCGCGCCCCCCAGCCCGCGCCCTCCCCACAGCCCGCTCCCGTCTTCACCCCCAACTCTCTCCTTCCCACCCCAGGCCCAGACCGCAGCCCGCGAGTGAGGAGGGGACGGAACCCGGGGGACCCGAACGCCCCCTAATCCAGGCAGGTGCGGGGCCCCAGGGCCGCGCGCCTGCGGAGGGGGAGGCGAGCTCCGGTCCGCAAGCCCAGCCTCGGGCCCGGCCAGGACCACCGAGGGCTGCGGGTCGTTGTGTGGCGTGGAAGCGGGGTCTGGCTCCCCGGGGCGCTGCGTTGACCCTGCCGCGTCTCCTCCCTCAGGCGCCAGGCGCCCCCCTCCAGCCCTCAGTTTCCCCGTCTGCGAAGTGGGCCGGCGTTCCCGCGGACCCCCCCCCCCCAACACACACACCCTGGCGGGGCGAAGCCCCTCTCCGCCCGGCTGGAAAGGGGGATCGCGTCGGCCCACCTCGCCAGATTCCAAGGTCTGGTGAGCACCAAATCGCTGCCGGGAGAATGGGAGCTGGGCGGGTGGCGCGGGGAGGGGAGCGGCACCCCTGCACCCCACGGAGCTCTCGCTGGGCGGAGGGCGGAGTCAGAGAGCCTCGAGGACAACTTGGTCCCGGGGCCGCCATGGGCAGAGCCACTGGGGGCTGAGGACGTCCAACGGGGCCCCTCCTGGCTTTCCAGATGAAGCCACTGAGGCAGAGGGCAGGGGAGAGGCCTGCGGGTCCCTCCCGCCCCTGGGTACCCACAGGGACGAGCCTCCCTCTGAGCCCGGACGCCTGGGGCTGCCAACCCAGGCCCAAAGACCCCCCTGATCCCAGAATCTGCGGCCTCCTATGCCAGCCAAGACGCCCTTCTGAGCCTCAGTTTCTCCACATGTAAAGTGAAAAAGACGGGCCCCGCAGATGGGGTGTCTGCGGTGCTGTGAGCCTCCTTGGGCGACCCTCGGTGGGGAGGGCAGAGAGAACCAGACCCGAGGGAGTGGAAAAGCCCCTTACCCAAGCCCCCAGACACCGCGCATGTGCGGCCGGCAGCCAGAGGCGGGGCTACTCGTGCTTCTCCAGCAGCTCCCTGCCCCTGGCCAGTGGGCCTGGGATGGGGGGCGTGACAGGCAGGGGCTTCGTGCGTGGGCTCAGGGTTCCACCCCCGTAGGGGAAAAAGAAGCCCCCAGCCCACCGCTGCAGGGGAGGGGGGGAGGCCGGGCTCCCAGGGGGCATCTGCAGGGTAGTGCCCACCTGCTGGAGCTCCTGGTCAGTGCCAGGAGGCCGCAGCAGGCGGGCAGAGGTCTGGGCCAGGGCCTAGGGGGTGGGGGCTGGGCTCCCAGACAGCAGTTCCGTCCTCCTCCATCTTAGCCCCCTCCTCCCGGCTCCTCTAGCTCAGGCCCAGAGTTCAGGGCCTCACTGCACTAGTCCCCCAGTCCCACACTGGAACTCAGCCTTTTCTTCACTCAGGAAACCCTGGCCCAGCTACAGAACGCAGACACACACACACACAACACACACACACAACACACACAAACATATCAGAGAATCCCCCCCCACACACACCAGACAGGGAGACCCAGAGTCCACAAAGTAGGCCCAGAGACCCTCAAGACACTTACAGATCAAAACACCCTTGAGAACAACCCACCACAGCTAGGACAGGGACAACAAGGGACCCCATAGAGTCTGTCGCCATAGGCCCTAGCTCCTCCCATCAGCAGCCGGAGGGAAGAGGAGGTTTTTCATAATGGGAAAGGGGGTCTGGGGAGACCTAGACCCTGTCTCTACCAGAGCAGTGCACATTGGCCACCTGGCAAAGCAAGCAATGGCCGGCCCAGGCTGTAAGGAGGCACTGAGGAGGGAGGTTGACCCTTAGAGGCCTGGACCCAGGCCCCTCACTTACAGAGCGGAAGGAGAGCTCTCTCGCTGGGTGTGGGTGGACACTGGGCACGGGTTCAGGGTGGACAGGCTCCGGCAGCCCAGGTGGGGCAGCTGTGATAGTAGGCGCCCAGGAACTCTTTCGCACGGCAGCGGGCGGCGGACAGACAGTAGGCTGGCCCTGTCCGTGTCCGTCCTCCTCCTCCTCCTCCCCGCCTTGGGGGGGGGCATCAGAGGCCCAATTGGTCTCTGCCCCCACGTGACTCCGCAGGCCTCTCTCCTCCTTTGTTGGTGTTTCTCTTCATTTAGGTCTATTTTTTTTTTCTCTTCTAAAAGAAAAAAAAATGCCCCTATCTATCTGGGGGCTGTGGATGGGGGCGGAGGCCAAGGCACGGTATAGGCCTTGGCCAGCTGGCTGTCCAGGCCGCCGTGGGAGCCCGAGGCAGGGACCCCAGGTAGGCGGGAAGGCAGCGGGCTTGTTAGCGGCTGGGTGGGAGTGGGACCTGATTTATGGTCTGCTCCCCCACCAGACCTGAGGCCGGGCACCTCTCACGTTGAATGGCTTCCTTTCCTAGGCCCTGGCGGGGCACGGCCCCAGCCTGGCCTAAATCTGTGAGCGGAGTTAAGATGGCCAGTGTGGAGGCAGGGATACGGATGGAAGGCCCAGGGCCCAGGCTGCTCCGGCCTGGCCTTCCACTCTTCCAGAAGGTGGAGAAAGAAGATAGGGCAGGAAGCAAGCAGGTGAGCAGACTGAATGCCTCAAGTGGGCTTCCCACAGTGGCACCAAATGCCACCATCGATGGCAGGCCATACATTGCCCAGATCAGCAACCAGGGGTACGCTGGCCCAGGGTTACAGCCTCTGGCCCAAGTCGCTTGGCCGCCATGCTGGGGTGGGGGATCTTAACCCAGAAGGCCAGAGCTCTCCACACAGGCTGGGACAGCCCGGCCCCGTCTCCAGGTCTGGTCCTTCTGGGCCCATTTGCTGAGCCCTGCACCCATCCAGAGCAACGCATGCTTCTTTGTTCATCTGTTGACTGCAGGCCCTCAAGCAAGGCCCCACTACTGTGTTGGGGACAGAGAGGGACAGGGAGGTCTCTGTCCTCAGATCAGTCACCTCCCAGACCTGGGAATGGGGAGGGGGCTCGCAGGGGCCACCGCTGTGGAGAACTTCCCCCTACACACACCCCTTCATTGAAGAAAAAAGCAAGTCACACACAAAAGTACCTCATTTTGGATGGAGGGGTTTTTCTAGATAAGCAAGTCAACTATATAGTCTTGTGTCTGCCTCCTCCTATCGAACTGTTTGTTGTTTTGCTTTGGTTTTGGTTTTGAGATATATATATATATATATATAATCTATTTAATCTATCTATCTATCTATTTTCTTTTTGGGGTCCAGTCGTGGGGCCTGAACTCTGGGCCTGGGCGCTGTCCCTCAGCTCTTCAGCTCAAGGCTAGCGCTCTACCACTTGAGCCACAGCGCCACTTCCGGCTTTTTTCTTTTTGCTTATGTGGTGCTGAGGAATTG